ACAGGTAATGGGGATCCCCTCCACCACCACCAATGTGCAGCATCCACCTGCGCCAGAACGCTCACCACACATCAGCGATCAGTGGGAAGGAGAGCAGCGTAATGAAACCAATTCATAGAGGGGGATTGTTAGGAGGCCATGATTGATAAAGGCTGATGGGAAATTTGGCCAGGACGCCGGGTTTACACCCCTACTCTTCTCGAGAAACGCCCTGGGATTTTTAATGACCACAGAGAGTCAGGACCTCGGTTTTACATCTCATCCGAAGGACAGTGCCTGGGGCATTAGGACCCACATGAGCCACAGGGTGAGTGCCCCCTGCTGGCCCCACTAACACCTCCTCCAGCAGCCACCTTAGTTTTTCCCAGGAGGTCTCCCATCCAGGTACTGACCAGGTACTGACTAGGCTCACAGCTGCGTAGCTTCAGTGGGTTGCCAGTTGTGAGTTGCAGGGTGATATGGCTGCTAAATGTTTCAGTGATGTTTGATGTTGTACACACATAGAGCACAAAATCTTTGAGTCAACTGCAGTGTAGATAATGTGTTTTTTTTATATATACCTTAATGTGAGACTGTGAATTGGGTGGCATATGGTTCCTCATGTTCCTACAGTATGTTGTAGTGATTAAGTCTGCAAAGCCAGTCATCACAAATTCAAGTTGTTAAGTCTCCTATCTCTCTTCTTCATAGGTTTTACCTCCAGCTACCATATAGTAACTGGAGTCCAGTATTTGATAGAGTAATTTGAAAATGTGCATTTGCTTTGAAAGTAAGTATGGATATAAACATGAGAGGAGGCTGTTCATCACATTGTTGCTCCAATTGTTTTTGGTGTATCTGGAGCCAAGAACTTGATCAAGGAGCTTCCTGGAGGAATCCAGTTATATCACCTTCAGTCACAACTGTAGGGGCTTTGCCTTTGGTTTGAAACACTGTGCTGACTGTAAATATGTGCAACTTGATATAGAAGACTTCTATATCAACTTGCTGCAGTCTAGTCCTGAATTTTACTTACTTTTGTGCTTAAGTAGCATCAAACCAGGATGCTAGTTCTGTCTGAAGCCACAAGAGGGAAACAGTGCCCTACGCAGAATTTAAATGTGCTAATGATTTAGTAATTTCTGCTTAAGAATTAAACATAACAACATAAACAATGAGGACATATAACCCATCACGCCTGTTTGGCAAAAGGTTAAAGAAAGATGTTTCATGTGAAACTCTCAAAAATCCACAAAGGACTCTTATCTTTGAATTTAGCACTCAGTGGAGAGGTTAGGACTTTTCTTGAAGATACACATTCAGTCCTTTTTAGACAATATTATTAGAAAAACACTATCTTTTTTGACAAATAAAATGGACCCAATGTTACAGTACCAACATCCGGCCACCAGGGGGCACCCAAACCCAGAGTATGCGCCTCACCCACTCTAGGGAGGCGTAGGTTAATCAAACCCATCATCACGCCTCATCTCCAGCCTACTTAAGCCATATTCCCTGCCCCATCTGTGCTCAGTATTGGTTTTTGACCTTGAGAGCTACACTTTTCTGTGACTGAGATTTCCCTTCAACTCCCTTTTGGCTATTGGATTTTTTTTGCTTGCCTTAGATCATGATTTTGGAAGTTGTCTTGGATACTTTCAGCTTTGTTTCCTTTTAGCTCCTTGACCTCTGCTAGTTTTTTTACTTAGACCTCGGATTTCTCTGTAAACTAATTATTTTGTGACCCCTAACCTGCATAGGGTCCATCCCTTTGCAAGTAGCTGCTTGGCCACATAATGAAATACTGAGCCACCCACATGGACCCCGCGGATTCAAATGAAATTCGGCCAGTGCTGTCTCAGCACTCTTTGGCACTGACCCAGCTGCAATCCACAATCCAGCAACTCTCGGAACATCTCTCTAACCTGGCGGCAACATTAACTCCCCTGGCATCCCAGATACCTTCTGCTGCTGCCTCCCCTCAGTCACTGCCTCTGATCACCCCAGAGAGGTATGATGGTAACCCAACTAAATGCCATGGTTTTTTAGCCTCGTGTTTAAGTTACACCCAACGGATTATCCCACCTTCCGTGAGAAGACCTCCTTCATAATCTCCTTGTTAACCGGTCACGCACTGGATTGGGATGCCTTGGAGATATCTGATTTTGAACTATTCCAGGAGCAACTAAAAACCATTTTCCACCACTCTGCTCACGGAAAAGATGCCGCTTCCCCGCGCTCCACAGCAGAATACTCCATTGAGTTTCATGTTATCGTGGCAGAAACTACCTGGAATGATGAGGTTCTTATCTCCCTTTTTCACCAAGGGTTAGCAGAGGACATTAAGGATCATATCACTGTAGTGCCCCTAAAAGGACAAACTCTGGAGCAGGTTGTCACGCAGGCTATTGACATCAACTATTGAGTCAGGGAATGACGTCGGGACTGATCTAGAGCATCACTACGTACAACCCCGTTCTAGGAAAACACCTTTCCATTTTCAGACCACCCGATGGGTCTTGGCCATGCTCGATTAACGCCTGAGGAGAAAGAAAGGTGCCGAAGGGAAGGCTGTTGCCTCTACTGTGGGTCTCACAGGTATTTTCGAACCCACTGTCCTGCTAAACAACAACACATCCAACACTTCCTAGCAAAGAAGGATGCTCCAGTGAATGAAACTCTTCTCAGCATTTACGCCCATGAAGGACTTTTTGTCCCCGCCACGATCACCCGGGGAAATACCCTTCTTCCACTCCTGGCCTTTACTGATTCAGGGGCAGCCGGGAGCTTTATAGATTCCTCATTCTACATATTTACACCTTTTATTACAGTACCTCTGCCTCTCCAAGAGACAGGACCCATGACACAGCAGGTTCTAAAACTGTCTACACAGCACATATATAAAACAACTTATCCATGTACTCACGGAATTACTAGAACCTTGTGTCCGAGTCCTCTCCTGCTTCCAACACTGCAAGCTCTTCCTTCTCCAATTCCCTTGAACTCTCCTGACTACAACTCATCCTGGGTGGAGGGATGGAAGTGTCCCAGCTTGCAACCATTTCACTCTGCAACTCACAACTGGCAGCCCACTGAAGCTCGGCAGGTGTGAGCCTGACCAGTACTTGGATGGGAAACCTGGGAAAAGCTAAGGTTGCTGCTGGAAGAGGTGTTTGTGTGGCCAGCAGGGGGTGCTCACCCTGCAGTCTGTGTGGGTCCTAATGCCCCAGTATAGTGATTGGGACACTATATTGTAAAAAGGCACTGTCCTACAGATGAGAAGTAAAACTGAGGTGCTGACTCTTTGTGGTCATTAAAAATCCCAGGGTGTTTCTCGAAAACATTTCCCATTGGCCCTTAACAGTCATGGCCTTCTAATAATCCCCATCTATGAATTGGCTTCATCACTCTCTTTCCTCCCCACTCATAGCTGGTGTGTGGGGAGCGTACTGGAGCACTATGGCTGCTGTCGCATCATCCAGATAAATACTGCACATTGGTGGTGGTGGTGGAGGGGAGTCCTCATTACCTGTGGAGCATCCAGAAAAGTACTATACATTTGTAAGCAATTATTATTACTAATTGTCCCTTTGATATCTACGGTAAGAGGCCAGAGTTAACTGCTTGGGGTTCATTGATCAACTGGCAGAGGACCCCAGGTGTAACGATGCATTGTGTAATCCAGTCTCCCCCCCCAGTCTGAACTGTTGGTAATAAGTGTCTGTGCTGGGAGGGTCTATGATCAATCAGAAGCTCAAGAACAGGTGGTCAATACAGGTCCTGCCTTTTGTTTACACTGTGACAATATTATTTATTATTAGGGTGAATTATTCAGTTTTTAAATAAAACAACTACTTTTTAATTCTTGTATTCCTTCTAGTCCTTACTTTTACTTTTTATTCAATTTACATTTAGGCTATATATTCTAAAGGCTAAATAAAGTTATTATTTCTCTCATACGGCACAATACTTGAATATGTCAACTCATCTTCTATATCATATAGCCTATATTGGTGTTGGGTTTATTATATATTGGACAGAGTATAGCTACAGTACGAGCACTGTAATTTTAGCGCGCTCTTCTCTTCTGCAGAACGCGCTGAAATCTCGTACCAACAGACTGGAATGTCCCACAACGATTTGTGAGGGTGTAGAAGGGTTTATAATAAATATTAGTTTAAGCCCTGTAGTATAAATATAAGTATATGTTTAACTACTGATAAAAAGATAAATATCCAATCATTTTTATCATGTCTGTGTCTCCGGGACCGTTCAGAAAAGCGGAAGAATCAACCATAGTTGAATTTTCCCGCACTTCACCACTCCTGCCACATTGTCTAACGCCTCGGAAACCCCCACATTCCCATTCTCCTCTGCGCTATGGCTTGGACCAGAGAGTTTAGGAGGATCGGCTAGAGTTCTTTTTCCGGCTACACCTGAGATTATCAGGAAGTGTGTGGGGTGATAAATCCTAAAGTTAATCCTTTTTACCTGGGGGAAGAAGTCAGGAAATAATGATGCGCTGAAAGAAGGGGCTGTCCGGTGGTGGGAGTTTTGTTTCGTATATCATCTTTCGGCGAGAGACAGAGCAGTTCATGCAGGATACGCACGCACAGTCAACTCCCTGCTAAGTTTTGCTTTTTGTTTTCGTGTGGTGCTGCAAGTTCTGTGCGATTCTAAGTGTTTCCTACAATGGGATGCTGCGGTTGCGCGGAGGTGAGAAGATAGTTCCACGTCTCCTGGAATATATTATGTCCAAAAATCGTAAACAATACAGCAGTACCGTAGTATAGTTTTTTTTTTCCTGTGCTTTATTCTCTTGAACTCTCCTTGTTTGTTGTAAGATTTGCACCGTGTTGTTTTGGTGGAGGCTGTGGGCTTGTTTCTTTCTCCATTGGAGTGACCTTCTTTACAACACTTTAATCCAATTTGTAAAATGTTGCCCGACCGCAAGGTCGAGCTAGACGAAGCCGTAGCTTGATAGTAATGGCAGTTGTGCTTCTATTGGCGTCTCGTTTTCGACACAAGTTTGCCTTGGACGTGTAATCTGTAAAGCTTGTGCTGAATAAAAAAAAGTGTACAATCAGTATTTACATAACAATCTGAAGCAGCTCTGTCTTGAGCGGTAAATAATTCTGACCTCGTTTTTGTGCTCTTCTTCAGGGGTTTTTAAATGAAGGGCATTCAGGGAAGAGCAACGATTCTTCTGCACAATGTGTGATTGTTTTACATCGTAATTGGGGGAAAAAAGGGAGTCTTTTATCGCATTTTTGTGCACGACTTGATGTCCTGCCTACTTCATGGTAGTGACGTGGATACTCGGCTATACCTCCATATACTGCCACTGTGAACCGACAGCTGGACATTAAATTGTTTCCACGCAGCTGAGGCTTTGGGAGCAAGGTTTATGATGCCTAGCAATTCTGCTGTTTCCTTACAGAGGTCTAAGCGGGACTGGAGACCCCTGGAAGAACGGAACTGTACTGACATTCCATGGCTCCTGATATTTATTGCTTTCTGCATCGGCATGGTAAGTATAGGTGTTGGGGAAGTTAAGTGCATTTGCTCCTTCTTCTGTTTGGGGGATTTTTTTTGTTTTTTTTGCTGTGGTAGTTCGTACACAGTTGTACAATTGATGAACGTTGTGTTGAGATTAGAGATTGATGTTTCAGTTCCAGAATTTTAGCAGCATTGCGATTGCATGCAAAAAAGAATGAAAGTAATTCATCTTGTGTCTGGATATGTGCTCCAGGAGTGGGAAATCGAGTAAGTGCTCTGCTCCGGTTCAAGGGTGTGTCCTATTGAAAATGCTACGTTTGTAATGAGAATGTGGAATGTTTGGGATAACCTATTTAATCGTATATTAAAGAGAAGAGTCTTATGGCACATTTACCTTAACTTTTTAAAGCATTTTTCTGAATAGTTGTGTTTTGAAGAAAAGGTAACTTTGTGTATATAATGAGAGTTTAATTTTATTTTAAACTGATCCACAAAGAATACATCATGTTTGCGAGGAAGATGATAAGGTGTTTGGTACATTGCTCATAAAGCAGAAACGAAGCGTCCCTTACTCGGTTTAAAAGGCTCCTTTAAAAACAAAACAACAGCACAGTTACAGGCCCTGGCTAAATCTTAAACCATGTTATTTCAGATGTTTAATATTCTGTTGAAATCTTCACAAATGGGCTTGTGAAAGTTCATGGAAAAATGACTGGGTGCACTGGGGGGCCATGGTGACCAAACTATGTAATGCATACTAAAACCTGCTGTCTCTTCTGGATCAGTAAGACTTTGCAGTGCATCTTTGATGCACAATTAAATAGAACTGTGGTGTATTTCTCTCCTCACCATTCTTATGAGTGCATGTGCTTCTCATAGGGTTGCATCTGTGGCTTTGCTATTGCCACTGGAGCAGCGTCCAGGCTGGTGCATGGATATGACAGCTATGGCAACACCTGTGGCCAGAAAAACTCCCAGATAGAAGGTATAGAACTGAGCGGACTGGACCAAACTGACAAAAAGTGAGTATCATATTCTAAGGCCTGCCTTCTTCTAAAAGTTTCACTTTATGGATTGAAGTAACATCTCGTAGAACGGAACACTTCCCTTTTTGGAGTGGAGATAGTCCTTTTTCTGTTTAATGTTTAATAAAGAAGTGCTTCTAAAGAGTGGCCTAAAAATACAACACAGACTTGTATAAAACAGGTCTTGACAGGTCTTTTACAGAACGACATGAATCATACTTTATTGATTGCTCCCTTTAGGATGGTTTTACTTTGAGCAAATCTTTAGGGAGAGGTGAGCCCCCTTGTGAAGTTATGACAAGGAAACCCTGTAATGTTCAGCTTCATAGAAATGCCTTCATCCAAAATCAGTCTTCATAAAGGCAAAACACTGCCATGTGTAGATCTGACAGACGTTGGACTATACCTGCAATAACTGTGTTTTTAATCTCTGAAATATCATAACTAATATGACTTCATAAATGGAGAATCTTTCAGGCTACAGAGAGGGCCTGTGGTTGTTGCTGTGCTCCAGAAGACAAACAATGTCTTCATTGTATCGGAGAATAGTTGAGATGTGCAAACAGGGAGCTCTTTTTCTGAGTCTGGCCAGTTGCCAAAATGTTTAAATGAACAGAGGTTAAAAACTGAGGAATCCTTTGTCCATCTCTAAATGCAACACTTTGGCGAATCGTAGGTTATTTATTTGCTTATACAATGAGTCTGGTATTATATTGACTAGAAGTGTGAAGAACAGGTGCAAAAAGACATTTATATAACCTTTTAGTACAGTTATGGAAAATGGCTTTCATGATCTTAAATGTACTATACAAAAGCCACATCATGCTCTTATGTCTTGGTCCATCTTGCCCCGACAATGTGTAACAATGTAAAGGATAGACAGTGTGTGATCTCTCTGTCTTGTTTTTAATGGGTTTTAGTAATTTGAACAGACAAATCTGGCAGTATAGTGAAAACTGTGAGTTGCTTCACCTATTTCATCTACTTGGTTTCTAGTTTTGTCTTCAGATCTACTTAAATGTGACAGCTGCAGAACTTTTATTTTAAATGTGCTTTCTGGTTTTTAATATCTCACAGCAGCAGATAATTCCCATCACTGCATGAATGTCTCATCTTTAGAAATAGCAGTCTCTATCAAAAGGAACTACAGTAAATATCTGCCATCTTCAGTGACTTAGAGGAGCCATGCTCCTGCTGTTGTAGTGCACCTGCATTGAATGAAGCTTTTTTTAAATGCTATAACATTTCTTAATTCTATTAAGTGACATGGATTTTGTATAATACTTGTCAGGAAAGGTTAGCATTTTTTCCCTTTCATTAACTTTAATCATTGTGTGTTGGTTTTCAGTTGTGGTAAATGTGATGTAAAATATGTACTGTCATGCTACTGATCTTATACACTGTTCATGCAGACAAAAACAAAAAGGAGATGTTGCACCGACATCTGTTTTTTACAGTACATTGTTCTGTGTGAATTGGATCCAAACTTCAGGTTTAGACGCAACTGTAGCGTACATGACTTGTTGGAGGATTTTGGAATATGTTTAATCAGTTTAAAAAATGTAAACATTCACACACTTTGCCATTATTCAGAAACTGCTGGCTAAAAGGAAACTTAAGTGAAATCCAAACATGAAGCAGATTGCTCCAGACCATTTCACGCTCCATTGTTTGTTCAGAGATCCTGCTCCAGGGAAAGCAGATTATAATGTATTTTTTCCCCTACCATGATAAGCTCTTTATATTTCAGTACAAAATGCATCTGTTTCTCAGCTTTGGGTTATAAGGGCAGTGCAGGTAAATCTTCCCGCGTGGAACCCCTGGTTATGTTGGGGTGTTCCAGTGATTATGACACAAGTTATGTAGCAAAGAGCGCAATAGTCCAGCCTGAAACACTGAAGGAGCTGCAGTGCTTCACTGCACCGGCATTCAGAACAGACGTTCTGGAATTACAATGTGTAAACGCTGCTGTGAACTGCGTGTCATATAATGCCATATTTTAAAGAAAACAGGATCATCATTTTAAAAACAATCTATTAGAACATACGGAAAGCAGTTCTTAAGGATGTTACAGGAGCTCTCGAAACCAGTGACTTGTGGTCTGTCAGGACTAGACTTACCACTAAAACTGCTCTCGAGTTTGTCAGTTTACTAAACAAATTTCACACAGATATGAAGGTTCTAAGTTAGGCTGTGAGTATTTTGCTGTGGCTAATGTTTGAGAGTACTTTAAAAAAAAAAAACGGAGGTGCCTTTTTCCTCTTCGATGGTGTCCATTACCAATTACTGGGGTTGATGCTGGGTTTCACTGATCTGAAATTACATGGCTGAATTTTGCCAAAACGTCCACCCATGCTGAATTCCTCTCGTATCTGCTTTACTGCATTGACAAGTATATAATAAGGACATTTATTGTAATTAATTTGCAAAAGTGTGGTAATAATAGCTGAGCAGTCCTTTGTTTCATTAACAAAAGCCATTAAAAATGTTTGCACGGTAAAGTTAAACGGACCAAAAGGGTGTTGAAATCAGCGCTTACATCCGTCAATGGTTTGTTTGATTCATAATTTCTGATACTGCGTGGATGATTTAATATTGCTTGAAAATTTGTACATTTCTTTAATGGTACTTTTTCTTAATGGTTGGGATAGCTTCAAATGTATCCGTGTTTCTTTGTAGTTTTTTCTATATGTGCTAATTAAGGGGTACCAGTGGTTGACAATGGAATATTGGGCCAGTAGCAGGCACTCCCAAGGCTAGGGGCCTTAATCAGTGTTCAGGTAAATGTTTAACATAGTTGCACTTCCCATAAACATTCCCATTATGACATCACCTAATGAGATGGCAAGTCAAAGGCACCATCTCGATGTTCAGATTCATTTCAATAACAAATCCACATGGATACAGAGAATACAGAGCATACAAATAGATAGAAATAACAGATTTGCAATGTTTGGCTCCATTTATTCCATATTCACCTGGTTATTAATGATTAAAAGAGATTTGTTCTTTTGCTGGCCAACCTGTGTAGTTGTTTGCCCCATTTCTGTAATGTCTTTGAAAGGTGCTTTGTTGCAAGTTCATCATCTCATGTTTGGACAAGTAGGAACTTCATATTTCTCTTTGCATTGGGAAGCTTAGCTGTTTCAGAATCTTCTCATTTATAACCTGTCTCTTATGTTCACTGATATAGAAAGTAAGTAGTGGAGCTGCGGTGATATTGAATTTGAATATTTTTCGTATATTAGGTTTTTCTAGAACTTTCAGGTTGTACAACCGCAAGGTAAAGAGCTCAGTTAAGACAAAAGACCTTTATCCCTGCTTTACCTTAAAATTGTAACTTTTTTTCGACACTTGTTTTCTTATCTACGTAGTTAACCTCACTTTCCTAGACCAGGTGTACAGCTGGCATGGTACGTTTGTGCTGTTTCAAAGGTATTTCTGCAGTATATATTGCATTTTCTGCTCTTTATTCTGTTGTAGGTACGTCTTCTTTTTGGATCCATGCAATATTGACATCATTAACAGGAAAATCAAGTCTATGGCTCTCTGCGTCACATCATGTCCGAGTGTGGAGCTAAAGACTTACAACGATATCAGGAAATTTGCACAGACAAACGGTAAGACCAAAGACATTACTGTTTTAGATATTTAGGAATGTCTTTATTGGGAGTTCAGTCAGACTGTTAATATGCAGTGTAAAACCCTCGGGCTCTTTGACGGTCCCTTTGGTTCCGTGTAGGCACAGTGTCAATAACATGGAGAAAGAAAACTTGCACTTAATATGCTAGTTAGTTGTTTGTTAGTTTATTAATCATAGTAAGCAGTAGCCACAATATTGTAGTGAGTTCTGTAGTTTAACATAATCAGTTGAATGCCTGCCTGTGTCAGCACAGTGTCCTGTCGTTCATTGTTTCTTTTCCGCACTGGGAAATATTTCCCATCTGCAGTTTATGTCCAACATTGAACTTCCCACATGGTCTGGATCAAAACCTCCATGTGCTATACAAAATGCTGTCTGATAACACGTTTGCTTTTTAATAAGCTTCACACTCTTACAAAAGAAAATTTGCAAACTGTGGTCCCTCACATGTATCGTAATTATAGTCACTGCAGTGTAATGATAGTTACTTTACCTTGGATTCAGATTGTGAGAGCTACATTATCAAGGACCCCACTTTGTAGAGGTAATTTACAGACCTCATTGCCATTAAATCAAAAGAGGAAATGGGCATAAGAAATTATTCTGCTTCATATTTGCCCATTTATATAGTTTTCATCACATATTAACAATTCTTACTTGAATGTTTCAGTCAGCCTACATATAACTTTGCATTTAGGCAGCTAGTAGTTTTCAGTTTGTCTTAGTGTTGTGTTATCAGTAGCTTTAAAGTTTAAATTATTTCACTGCATTGTCTCATATACTGCATGTATTAGGTCATTGCCTGTGTCATGTCCTGCCACCAGATGAAACAATACAGTTCTGTTAAAAACACAGACCCAGGCTTTGGCCAGTAACAGTGTGGCTATGTGCCTTCCACACACTTAAGAGCATGTTCATCAGTGTTCATGCAATGTTTGTGCAATTGTCTTACAGTTCAACACATTATTTCAAGTATTTGGTGCTCATATATGTTGAATGAAAGTCATTTTCAGACTGCCATTAGTTCATAATCTTTTAATGAATAAGATTTAATCTTGTAATAAAGTCTCTTGATGAAGAACAGTAAACCAATTTGCACATCACTGATATGTAGCTCTATATACACAAGGATTTCTGAAGATGTTTGAGAATTCTATTCCCCTTATTTTTTACTGGAATCTTTGAAATGTGAGTTAACATTTCCATTCTGGGTATTTAGTTACATTCTTTAATCTCCTCTACGTTGATTCTAAGGTCATCTTCATATGGATCCTTTCTGTCCAGTGAGCTGAACTGCTTGTATCTTTCTCTCCTGTTAGGGTCTGCCCTTTGCTCCTATCAGTTAAAGCCTACTGAATATACCAGTCATAAACAAAAAGATACTCTGTGCCCCAAGCTTCCTGTGCCACCAAGGTATGTAGATCTTAAATGAACATCGCTAGGTGCTCAATTTAGAACATTCTCACCATGTTTATTTTAAAAACAAATATATGCTTATAACAGTAAACCATGAACATGTTTACACAGTCATGCTTTGTTACATAAAACATTGGTTTATTCATGGACAACCAAAACATTTAGTCTCCCTCTGTAGGTTTTGCTAAGGCTGATGCAGAACAAAAATTGGAGTTTTTGAAACATTGGTAAAGAAAACTAACACTGTTACTGAAATTGTGTATCTGTTAGCAACTTCTCCTTTTAGCATTGAAAACAGAACTGAACTTGCCCCTCAACTTCCTTACTAAGGACGGTTTCTGCTGTCTTAATATATTAAATCACTTGCTCATTGTATATGTATGGCTTTTTGTTTTAATATTCAGTTAAATGAAAAGTGATTTGTCTACATTGCCAAAATGACATTAAAGAGACATTTGCATTATTCACGTTCTTCCTTCATCTTGTACTTTATTCTGTTTCTTGATAGTAAGTCAATTCCGGTATTCCATCGCTGCATCCCTGTGGATATCTCCTGTTATGCCAAGTTTGCTGAAGCCCTGATCACCTTCGTCAGTGACAACAGTGTGCTTCAGAGGTTAATCACCGGTGTGATGACCAGCAAAGAAATCATCATGGGCCTTTGTGTGCTTGCTCTAGGTACTGGGAGCCCTTCAGAATTATGCACAGCTGTCTTGAGTAAAAACAATGTCCTTGTCTTTGAAATCATCTGCGAGGATCGGTATAGCCTGTAGGATCACAGCCACCTAATTTCACTACTGTGAATAATGGCTTTCCTTTTTGTATTGGACACTTTTACTAGTGTATGACTTTTTAGTACTTTCATTAAAAAATGCTTTATTGGCAAAATTGGTATCAATAAGCATTTTTTGTTCCCTTATATTTTATGGGTTTCTTTTTGAATGTCCAAACAATTATTGTTAAGAATGTTTGAGAAGCCATTTTCCTGGAATTTGTTGCAAAATTTTAGTGAAGTGGAAACGGAAACACTGAGTAACGTAGGGAAACCCAGGAAGGCAATAATGAAGTTTAATGACATCCCGGGAAAATGCAGCTACAAACAACATTTTGCTACTGAAAGATTTATTTTGATCCATTCAGTGGCTAGGAAGCTCAGTGGATTGTACTGAGGTGCTTCCTGTCTTTTTTTGCAGTGCTTTCCATGATTTTGATGGTCATCATACGATACATCTCCACAGTGCTTGTCTGGATCCTCACTGGATTAGTGGTTCTGGGGTCACTGGGTGAGTTTGCCTGAAGCAGGGTTTCAAGACTTTGTTGCTAAATGCAAAAACATTTTTTTCCATATTTAAATATTAATACAAAGGCACCTTTGAGTGGTTGACCCATCAAAGTTATTTTTGATATGCTGGTAGACCTGCTTGTATTCAGCATGTTTTTATTTATTTCCCTTGAATATGTTGCTGTAGTTTTTCAAGATAGACTTTCAAAGCAAGATGGTGTACTTCTAGGCCAGCATCTCCTTTCAAAGCAAGTATAATATGTCTTGTTTAGTGAAACCAGTTTACTGAGCTTCTGAGAGGGCAAAAATAATCAAGTAGTGTTTTCCAATAATGCATTCATATACAGTCTCTAATTACAGGCATAGACACAGGTGAAAGACAGGGCTCCCATCTCCTAATACGCTTGTTCAGCAGGCCATACCTGTGAAGTCATCACTTTTAAATTCTTGATCATGAAGAACAACATTTAATTAAAGCCTCATTCTTGTCAGCCTGATTCTACAGATTTGATTTCAGGACACATGGTCAATGAATTGCCTGTCCACAATTGTGAAAAATACTTTCGAATGAATTAGCTTATACCTGTTTTTTGGCGATCGCCATTTTGGTGGGGGCTTGTATGAAGTTTACATTTGACAAATACACACTGTGCTTATATATTCATATGTTGAGATGTATATTTATTATTCATATGATCATATAAAGGTCATGGTAATCTTGATAATCACGGTAGTCTTAGGTGTGACTTTTTCCCTTGATCATGATCACAGTTTCTTCAGGCTTGCTGAATTAAATATGACATAAGGGGCTATAAAATAAAATGCTAATTTGACAATAATTGTAAAACCTATTTTGCTGCTTGCAGGGGGCACAGGTGTTCTGTGGTGGCTTTATGCAGATCACAAGAAGTCGCTGAATGTTACGCTGCCAGCAGATCAGTTAGAAGTAGCCAAAGACAATGTCCAGGCTCTCATGGTCTATGCTATAGCTGCTACCATTTTCACGGTAGGTTCCTTACGTTCCTGTTGTTTCAAGTGGTTACAGCTTCTAAATGACTACATCCATGTCCTTTGAGAGCAGTTCTGTTCTGCATTTGTTACAGTTTGGTTTTTTTTTCCAGGGAAAGTATAACACAAAATTCTGTTTTAATTCTTTGGACGCAATTTAATTTTGTCATTTCTGTATAAGGTGGCAGTCTGGGAGGGCTTAAGGTCTGAAAATGTCATCCAGTATTTTATACTTGACCTGTATCCTCAAAGCCTTTTCTAAACTCCTGAGCCCAGGATTATTGATTGTAAGGCCTCACTGTGCCCTTTCAGGGAGAGAGTCATGCACATTTGATTTTTTTTTTTCCTCCAACTGGGAAGCCTAAGGCCAGTTTTGCACTTTTTGGGAAAAACTCTAATTTAGTGAAACTACAGCTTGCATCACAAATTTGGTTCATAGCTCACATCCAAGGTACACTGGACCTAAAGCTTTAGACATTGTTGTAACAGACAAACAAGTTCTGGACCCTGAAATGAGCTAAATCAACTGAGTTTATTGCATGCAAGGAACAATAAGATCAAGAGAATAATTGTTCAGAGAATTGTTGTAAAGTTCCAGTTTATGTAGGAGACTTCAGCCATTTTTGAGGCAAATTGCTACCATGGTAATGGAGGGGAGGTCACTTGAGTTTGTACATTCCCAAGACCTTGAACACTGAATGGCCGGTCTTATCTTTCCATAGTTAGGGAAAGATACACTTTCACTTACACTTTGTACCAAAAGAAGTCTTTGTGTAGAAAGAAATCGGTTTACCCTTGTTTCACATCTTATATCTTTCTTCAGCATGTTACCCTTTCATACTTTTCTCCAGTAAGTGTTTCTGCAACAGATGTCCAAGTGCGTACTGGAGCCATTGTATGTGCACTGCATGAGCCTCATTCATAACGATGATTTCAATGTGCACTTTGTTTTTTCAACCTTTGCTGTCTCATGTCTTTCTTTTCGCTTATGTAATTTTCACTGGTTCCAGGAACTGTTTGTACGTCTAGTAAACAATTAATTCTTTGACCCACTATCATGGTCCTTTCACTCTTTTTTCAACATGCATTTTGAGACAACTTTTAGTCTTGTAAGCAATGTGTTGTTGTGTCGGCTACTAAGGCTAGAGCAATTTAGTTTTTGTGGTCAAACAATAAAAGCTGCTTTTTTCCAGGAACTGTTTTATTGGTGTTTCTCTGCAGTGAAAGTTGACAAATTCACAAATAAGCAAGATTAGCAAGACATGGGAGAAACTCAAAAATGTTGAAAGTGTTATATGAGCCAACATACAAATATTGGAGGACCTGGGGAGATCTGCATTTATAGCTGTTTTAATATCGCTGCTGTACCCATCCATTAATATATTTTCTAACTGCTTTATCCAGTACAGGTTTGTGGGGGAGCCTGAGCCTATGCCGGCAAGCAACAGGCACAAGTCAGGATACATCCTAGCTGGGACACCAGTCCATTGCAGGGGGCACACAGACAGAAACAGAATGCACACACTCACACCAGGGCCGATTTTCCTAGAAGCCAATTTAACCTACCTGTATGGCTTTGGACTGTGGGAGGAAACCAGAGCACCCAGAGGAAACCCATGTGGACGTGGGGAGAACATACACACTCTTCACAGAAAGTGCCCAAGGTCTGGAATTGAATCCAGGCTCTCTGAACCAGAATTTCCAATCTAATGACCAAGTATGGTGAACTGGAAGATCTGATAGAAGGTAGCAATTGAGGAACTGAACCCAGAGCCCCAGTGCTTTGATATATAAATGTAAGATTAACAGGCTACAAACACCGCAACTGCACACAGGGGAGGATTAAGATTTCGGCAGATTTCTCTCACCCATTCTCCTTCAGGTCACTGATCTTTTAACATTTTTTAACACTTTGAGGCTGATTTGAGAAGAGCCACGTCCCACGCCAAGTGCCTGGGAGCCCACAGAGGTCATGGTGCGCCTGCGAGCCGTGAAAACCTTGGCCAACTGCTCCCATCCCCCTCTCGGCACTGCTTAGACAGTTGTGCACCACTGTGTGGGGAATCCCAGTCCCAGCTGGCTAGTAAGATGTCCTAGACCTGAACTCAGCCAAGTGCCTTCACCCGTTGAGCCACCTGACAGGCCCCTGTTTTGTTAACTGTTGTTTACAAGCACTTTTCCGATTAATTGAGACATCGTAAAATCGGTCCCATCCAGGCTAGGAGCAGTGTGCTGTCAGACCCTCTTTGTGACCTGTGCTGCTGGGGTAAGACCTGCCTTTAGGCCACCCTCTACAGGGTGAGCAGCTTTCTGGTCACGGATGGTTGAAGGGTTTCTGCTGGGTTTCAAAGTGCTTTTTTTATGCTAAGCTTCAGAAATTTTTAATTCTTTTCCTAATTTTATTAAAGAGATGTCTGAGGCCATTTTTTGTTTTTTCCCTTTACTTAGGTGATCCTGCTCCTGCTCATGTTTTTTATGCGGAAAAGAGTGGCTCTGACAATCGCCCTATTTCATGTGGCGGGTAAAGTGTTCATCCACCTGCCGCTGCTCGTCTTCCAGCCCTTCTGGACGTTTCTGGCTCTGATGTTGTTCTGGATGTACTGGATAATGGTTTTGCTATTCCTGGGCACAGCAGGTAAGGTCCAGTGGTGGCCGATATGGTTCTGCAGCCCTGTGTGGCCTGTGCTAACGGCAAGCAGTGTGAGCCAGCTGCTTCACTGTCTATAGGTTTTGAAATTGCCATTCTGCAAGCTGCCATCTTCTGTTGCAGTCCTTTTAGAACATTTTGAAAGAAAGGAGAGCTTCATCATTTCCCTACACAAAGATCTGTTAAAGTACTTAAAGATGCTTAGTGTGAGTAGCATTGCGATTCCAATTCCTACCATAAAACGTGGGCTTGTTTATTTTATTGCATTATGTCCATTTTAAATAACACAAGAAAACCAGTTACATCTGTCTTTAATATATCTTCTGTTTAAAATAGTTCGTGGTTCAAGCCCTGGCTCTACCACTTACTACGTTTGTTACCCTGAACAATTTGGTTACACTCCGTGTACTCCTCACCACTGTGCTTGTCATGTTAATCTGATGCCTGTTGTAATGCTGCAGCAGCTGTTGTTGAAAAATGTATTTTTGATGTTCACAGGCAATCCAACACAAAATGACAAGGGTTTGGTGGAATTCCGAATGTCGAGCCCTTTGCAGTACATGACCTGGTATCACGCAGTTGGCTTGATCTGGATCAGCGAGTTTATTCTTGCGTGTCAGCAGATGACTGTTGCTGGTGCTGTTGTCACTTATTATTTTACAAGGTAAGAGGCTTCCTACATGAAATTGGTAAACCTGAAGATGTATGCTTACCTTGCTCATTCTTTCAAGACAAGTCTCTGCACAGCAGAGTCTGGAATCTGGACTTAAAGAGGGACGTGCTAAAATCACTTTGCAGAATCACTCTTGTTTACCAAAACATGTTTTAGGCCCATTTTTCGGTTACTACTGCCAGCTGTTAACTTATAGATTATAATAAAGAGGAATACGCAGCTGTCACTCAGAAATGATTGTTTCTTTTGTTGTAGGGATAAGTCCAAATTACCACTTACTCCTATACTGTCATCCGTATATCGTCTTATCCGGTACCATCTCGGTACTGTGGCGAAGGGATCCTTCATCATTACACTTGTGAAGATCCCTCGATTGATCCTCATGTACATTCATAATCAACTGAAAGGAAAGGTAAGGAGAAAAGGTAATTGGTTGCAACAACAGTGTGTAAGTATTTTGTTTACAGAGGTGACCATGTGTTGTCTGTCCAAGCCACGGAGAAGTAACATTGAAATCTAAATGTTGAAATATTAGTCTTGGTATCAATTTTCTAACTGTATATTGCAGTATCTCTACTTTCTACTCTGAAACTAGAACATTAATGCTTTTGCTGCAGTGAGATCCTTTGATATCGGTGATTAGGAAGCAGCAGAATGAAATACAATTTCCCATTATTAAAAGATAAATGACGTCTGCAGTGTTACATAAGGAATTCATGAAATGGTAGGCAATTGAAACATAGTGTTGCTATTATGGTAATTATTTTAAATTTCTTTTCCATCCCTCAGGAAAATGCTTGTGCTCGGTGCATGTTGAAAGCCTGTATTTGCTGCTTGTGGTGTCTGGAGAAGTGCCTAAATTATCTGAATCAGGTATTTTCTTCTCTGTTAGGTCAGATGCATGATTTTGAAGGTCAGGCTATATATATATACTTTGTGGCAATTCAAAATGTAATATTTTTTAAATGATGTCAAGAATACTGTGCACCCAAAAGCAAGAAATAATTATCTTGAGATTCAGCCCGTTGTAAACTCAGCTATCTATGTTTGAGATAACCATGGCTTGTTTGTGTCAGTAGATTTCTTTTTTGTGTTTTGGTTGCACTGATATACAAATAACCCTTACAGATTGAGAACTAGCAAGAGTTGCAAATAGTGTGAGATGTATAAAAGAATGATTTAAAAAAAAAGGTTTAAAATGTTTGATATTTTTTTTGTTGCAGAATGCATATGCAGCTACAGCTATCAACAGCACCAACTTCTGCACATCTGCAAAGGATGCCTTTGTGATTCTGGTGGAGAATGCTTTGAGAGTTGCCACGATCAACACCGTTGGAGATTTTGTTTTGTTTCTTGGGAAGGTATGGCTTCTATATAGATCAGTAGCACTGAGGCTTTTTTTAAATTAAAACTGGTCTACATTCTTCAGGGCTGTAATCAAAGAGTCACGAATCTTGTACTAGGGAGATGCTTTCATGCAGTCATCACGCAAGGTTACAAAAATTAACCTTCAGTAATCAGTGCTGAAAAGAGAAAGCACCTATGTTTGAAACAAAAATCATTCTGTGGAGGTTCATGATTAATTTGATAAAATTGTGATTAGGGAATGAGTGGGTTTTCGTTACAAACGAATAAGCAACAGTATTCATCAGGGGATATGAGAATACAAAATGACAAACAAATGTGTCTTCTTTCTGAGTATTATAAATGTCAATCTCAGACAAGACCCGAGACAGAATTGTTAATTGTAAAGCCATTTTACAGTAAGTCATAAACAAATTTCTTATAGCTGTAGGTAGATATAATGTATGCAGTAGGTTAGGTGTTCAGCTCTGCTTACTGTAGAGCAGCTTAATATTTGATGTCTCTTTAGTTTTAAATCTCTTTGAGACTGTTAAAGAGGAGTAGAATCAGGAAGACACAATAATCTGTAATAGTAAATAGAAATCAGCAGTATGGTTGTGCAACATAGAAAAGAGAAACAGTGAGCATGTATTTTTGAGGTCTCTCTGAAGGCCTTTGTTTTGTTCCACAATGCTTGTGCCAGTAGCAGATATTTCCTTTAGAAATTTGTGCAAAATATTCAGTCTTGAAGTTAATTACCAAATGTTGCAATACAAAGAGAGCTCAAGCCCTACTTTCAGCTATAAATTATCTTGCTTTAGCATAGAACAATCACCCCTTAGGCTTTGGAAGAAAAATCAAAAGAAATGATCAAAGCACCGATTAAGGTAAGTTATTAGGCTTTTTAGATTTTCATTTTTATTTGCTGTTAGTTTTTACCTTGACACAGTATCCAAATTGAACTAACAGTTTTAGGCCCTCTTTAAAGATGCTTCTGTAGATTGTGTCATTCACAGGAAGCCAGCGGCTTGATAAGCCTGTTAATTTCCAGGCCAGGTCTTCAAAGATAAGAGCGGTTTGTATATAGAGCCATCAACCAGTGAAATGATTCCTATGTTCCTGTTTCATCGTCTGTCACAGATTGTGCTTGTGAAGCTGTTTGAGAGCTATGGTGGAGCAGCTTTAAAGCAAAGCTTTTTATTTTGGTCAAACTTGGCAATGAATAACATGTAACAAATTCTTCACGTGGATGATGCATATGAGTCTAAAAAATAAATTGCAGAAAAAAAGAAAGCCTCACTTTACACGAGTGGTCAACGGTTCTGATGTCCACTGAAGTATTGAACTTTATCCATTTAAAACTTAATACCTCTAGATTCTAAGGAAATTTGTGGAAATGTTAGTATAAGTAGTTTTCTATACCTTCCTGGGTTTTACATGTCTTGGGGTGTTCTTAAGGCTTTTAGAAATTTGTAATCAAATATTCCCAGGCAGTAAGTAAGAAGAGGAATAGACTGGCTTCTAACAGGAAGCTACTGTGTGTCTGTTTCCAGGTCCTGATAGTTTCCAGCACAGCCTTTGTGGGCGTACTGGCTCTGAACTACCAGCGGGATTATACAGTGTGGGTCCTCCCTCTGATCATCGTGTGCCTCTTCGCCTTCCTGGTTGCCCACTGCTTCCTCTCCATATATGAAATAGTTGTGGATGTCCTCTTCTTGTGCTTTGCCATCGATACCACGTACAATGACGGGAGTCCTGGGAAAGAGTACTTCATGGACAAGGCTCTTATGGTAAGACATTTTTGGGCTCATTGAGTGTGGCTGGGATGAGATTATATTCATATACATCTTCATCTATTTTTGTCATGATCTGCTGATTTCACAACGGAACCTTTTATTTAACAAAATAACTTGTGCAAAGAGGATAGTCATTTCATGTGTAAGGACCCTTATTCCTTGATTTTGCGTCGACTTATTATTCTACCTTGTGATGGGGAGCTACAGGTTAATTCAGGAACGGTCTGTACGTTGTCTTAAGGACCACCAAAGGTTTTCTTTTACTGAATACTTCTGATAATCGGATCATTAGTTCCGTGGCAATTCAAGGAATGGTTGTAACTTCACTGCACAAAAATAATAAAGGTTTTCATGGGAACAAATGAAGTTTGTCACGAATGATAACTGCTTACTCACCAATTTGAAGAGATGTTGGGATCTGTAGGTTTTCACTCTCACTTTTTGAGTCCTGATTTTTCTCTTGGTGAGCCATAAAGTTTTTTCCTTATCAAGGTGATTGAAGTTAAGGCAGTGAAATTAGAAGGATTTGAAGAAAAGTTGAAAATGTATTTGGAAGCCACCATGTAAATTACATTGTTACTCTTAGAGTTATTGCTTTATTGTAATCTTAAGAAATGTAATTTGGTTATTCATGTAATCCATCACAGAAATTGCTTTTGTCCCCTTTATAAGTGTAAATTTATTCCTACAGTCCTTGAAATCTTATTCATCAGAATTTATTTGACATATTTGCCATGTAAATTCATTTAAAGAAAAACAACTTTAAAGGTTATATTGTCCTTAAATCACATTTTGTGAAACACAAAAACTTTTGTGTTTATTGTACTTTAAATGTTCAATGTAGAACAACAGTGTTTGCTGAAATATGATTGTTATTCTTATTGAGAAACAGTGCGTATTTCTATTATTATTTTCTGTACATCGCATGTCTTTCGGGGCCACCACACATCTTTGTAATAATAATTATAATAATTGCTTACACTTATATAGCGCTTTTCTGGACACTCCACTCGAAGCACTTTACAGGTAATGGGGACTCCCCTCCACCACCACCACCAATGTGCAGCATCCACCTGGATGATGCGACGGCAGCCATAGTGCGCCAGAACGCTCACCACACATCAGCTATCAGTGGGGAGGAGAGCAGAGTAATGAAGCCCGTTCATAGATGGGGGATTATTAGGAGGCAATGGTTGGTAAGGGCCAATGGGAAATTTGGCCAGGAAGCCGGGGTAACACCCCTACTCTTTTCGAGAAAACGCCCTTGGATTTTTAATGACCACAGAGTGTCAGGACCTCGGTTTTATGTCTCATCCGAAGGACAGCGCCTGTTTACAGTATAGTGTCCCAGTCACTATACTGGGGCATTAGGACCCACACAGACTGCAGGGTGAGCACCCCCTGCTGGCCCCACTAACACCTCTTTCAGCAGCAACCTTAGTTTTTCCCAGGAGGTATCCTACTCTGACACCAATGTAACGCAACGGGGGTTAAGGCGGACACCCTTGCCGCATTAGGTCGGCCCCCCACCGTCGGGGGCTCGAACCCGGGATTCCCGCGTCACTCAACAGGGTCCCAGCCCGGTGAGCCAAAGAGAGATCTCTTCGGGGGACGGCGAGATAAGCGGGGGAGAGTGTAACGCATACGGCCATCAGGGTTTGTAAGAGCTGGCTTACCAGAGCGGTAACGTCGCCACCATTCCCTGTGATAGCAGGGCTACAGCTACTGGGTTGTAGAGAGATCTCTCTTTGGGTCACCGGGCTAGGTCCCTGTTGAGTGAAACGGGAATCCCGGGTTCGAGCCCCCGACAGTGGGGGGCCGACCTATTGCGGCAAGGGCGTTACACTTTGTAGATCTCGCTTGTTTTGTACAGACGGACAGGCAGCCTCCTGACCCTGGTTGCCGAAATGATCGTGTGCTTCCTTGCTGACGGACTTGACTTGTGTTTCTCTGCTGTCGCAGGAGTTTGTGGAGAGCAGCAAGAAGCCGATGAAAGAGCGGAGCAGGGGCAGGCCCCACTCAACCGACAGCAGGGAGGCGAAGCCCATGGTGAGTGGCCCTACCGAGTCCGACATCCTCCAGGAGTTTCACTTCTATTACCTCTTCATCTCTGTCTTCGTAGACTGGGCTTTCTCTGAACAAGCTTTTGTGCTGTGTCTCACTGTCGACATGATGCTCTTTCTGTTTCTGTACCTCCCCATTACTTCACTGTTTCAGTTCTTCTCATTGTTTCAGTCATCTCCTGTTCTGGCAAGTTAGCCGAAACAGTATCCCGCTGTACATATAGACAGTATTTTTAGACCACTGCTCTTCTGATCAGCTTGATTCCATTATGTAATGTGCCAATAGTTCCTGTTCTTCTTTAAGAACTCAAGTCTGTAGTTGTTGCCTTATTATCACAGTGCACTTTAAGCAGGATCTGCTGATCCTGTGAGAACACCTCTTTTGTACAAATGCTTATCCCTTAAAGTAGTGCACACCGTGGTCAGGCAATATAATTGGCCAATTGGAGATGGCACTTGCTTCCTACCTGGCTGACTTGGAACTCTATAAACATAGCCCTAAGAATGTTTGAATATTTATCCCTGCTTTTACACAGGGAGACACATATGAGGTCCAGTTTCTCAAAGTAAAACAAAGTTGAGTCTAATAATGTATAATCAAATTTAGGACTCGTGCTGTTTTGGGGTCATTCAAAATAGTATATTAAAAACTATCCCAGTTCTAACAACAGTACTCCACTGTTTTCTAGAAGCAGTAATGCACAAAAATGCCAGATGACATTTTAAATCACATTTGAAAGTTAAAATGCACAGTTGTCTGTCATCAGTGCTAGTCTACACTTTGCTAGACTTGTTTATGAGCTGTTCATCCAAAGTTGTTAGAGCATTTAAGGTGATCAAGTGTAATATATTTTTTGCAACCTATGAGCTTATCCATTTTAACTATGACAAAACATGAAAATTGTTGACTCTAGAGAAGATACTACTTTACAAACAAGCAGTTGTTCATTCGGTATTCCAGATATTGGCAAAGTGTTTAAAATGAGAAGTATTGAGACATCAAGAAGGTTTAAAACTACAATTGGGTAAAAACTAGATGTACGCAGTGGTTGTATGATTATTCTGTGTAGTAATAAGTATTAGGTTTTATATATATTCTACTCTCTGGGGAGAGTAATATTGCAAATGTAGTTGAGAAAAGATTAAAGGAATATATTTTTATTAAATTCTAAACTAAAAAATATCATTAACTCTTTTTAAAAAGTACTTAATTTTTTTAAGCTGAAAAATAAATTCTGATTGCATACACATTTTAAGCTTCCATGTTCAATGTTAACTTGGGATTTAAAAAAACAATTAAAAAACACTGCAAATGAAAAACTGTGACATCGGCAATATTATGAAGCAAAATTAGCTGCTTTTCAATTAAAATGACTGCAGCTGAGTGTTTTGCCTCATTCCCTTTAGCAGAGTATGTGTCACACTGATCACTAATCTCGGAATCTGTTTAATTCACATTTTAGTTATGCAATTTCACAACTTAGCCTTGAATATCTTGGAGTTTCTTTGGTTGTCGATTTAGTTAAGTAACTTGCGAGATATTACAGCCAAACAATCTGTCGGTGACTCTTCCAAGTAACCTGCACTGGGTAGGAATAACTAGTAGCTGCAGAATTCTGTGATTGATGTTGGCCTCTCTGCAAGACACTACATCGGTTAAGTCTTAGGACCTCACTTGCTGCTCTTCCTGTGGCCTTATCCTGAAGTCAACATTTTACCAAGACAAGGCATGTCTTCATGCTGCTCATGCAGCAACATCTCTCCTGCAAGGTGAGAAAGAGGCAATTATGCTATATGCTTGCCAAACTTGAGCCCCACTGAAAAGATGGGGAATGAGACATGATGATATGTGCTTGTTCAGTCTGTAATATAAGACAGAGATGCAATGGATAGATGGAAACTCCAATATAAAGTCACTTAATAGGGCATGAGGCCACCAAGTGATTCCAGCATGGCCTTTGTGCTCTGTGGCATAGTCTACCAGGGTCTCGAATTAGACAGGAGGAACGTGGCACCGTTCTTCTACAAGAAAATCAGTCAACTCGGAATATATTATAAATGCTCGATTGGATTAAAATATGAGACTTGGACTTGGATTTAGAAGGCCATGACATACAGTAGGTACCATCAGTGTCGTGCTCATCAAACCATTGGCAACTGTATGTGCTCTGTGGATTGGTCAATGTCATTCTGGAATACACCTCTCCCAGCAGGAAAGAAATACTGCAACATGTGGTGATAATGATCACTCAGTACCATCAAGTTGTAAGTAGCATTGACCTGGTCTTCTAAGGGAATGTGTGGGCACAAACCATGCCAGAGAAATAAACCCCACAACATCATGGACTTTCACTGTCGGAACCAAGCACACAAAGCTGTAGAGCACATGTACTTGTCATGGTGAAAGATGATTAATCTGGCAGTATCCATTGTCTGTGCTGTTTGCCTGTCCTCAGGACTAGCAAGCACGAATCCCCATGTGTGCTGAGTGGTTTGTGCAGTGAAACCCGAGTATCGTATCTTGGTCTATGGAGCTCTCGGTGGACTGTTTTTGATTAAACTGAGTGAAAACAGCCCATGTCATTCGATCAGAATGTGCACGCCCATTTTGCCCTGCACTTTGTATTAATACATGGGTGTCACAGTCTTGAAGTATGTGCTTCTGCCCCACTCTTGCCCTTTGCTGACATACTCCTGAAACATAAACGAGTCGAGCAGTCTTGGTCACTGAAGCTCTTGCCAATTGCGTCCGAACAATCACTAGTCTTTCAAAGTCACTGAGGTGTCTACTTGCAGCCAGACCTGCCTCACATTTTTTATACATGGCCCTAAGTATGCTGGGATGTTTTTGCATAATTAAGACATTTTTTATTCAATAATATGTCAAAGTTGACAGCTTACATTGTTTCCTTTGGTGGCCAGAGATGCTACTACCTTTGAACATTCACAATAATCTCCCTGTTGATGGTTAAGGCTAATTTGATATGTCGCTTCCTACTAAGTGTTACTGTCTGATGTATTTTGAAGTTGCAGTTATAAGTGATAAGCTTCTTTTGATGCTTTTTTATGTATGAAACATTTCCTGGAGAATATTTCAAATGGCCGTACCCCTTATTTAAAAACTGTTACAAGTTCTTTACAGCAGCAGGTTGCCGTCTTTGTTTCTTTTCTAATTTCATTTTATGCCAGAAATAATGGGATTTTTCCTCTCACCTTTAAAGTAATTTACTCTCTTCATGTTGACTGTGGTTCTCAAATTTGAAAGCCTAGTATTTTTTAATAGACTGCTTAGGGCAATGACTAAAGGATCTTATTTGGGGACCAGTTTATAGCTCATTTTGCCATTTCCAAATTGAAAAGGCACCTAACAGCACTACTTTAATGTTTATCCTCAACTGTCCAGAATCTAGTTACACACCGAGATGTGTCTGTCTGAAAGGGTGATGGCTGTGATTTTTTTTTCTCGTGGTGCAGTACATTAGCAGTTCCTCAGTGGTCTCAAAATGAAATGTCACAAGCTCTTCACAGCTGAATGTCTTTGACATCTTTGCATGTATGTTTCTTCTAGCCTTGAACGAAGTAGCCACAAGAATTTAAAACCTCTTTAATTTCAATATATCAACACTTTACACGTTGTGCATTGAAGCACCGAAACAAGCATGCTTTCTTTGAAGCTTTTGACTTTACTCAGCGTGGGATACTGTTTCTGCTTAGTGCTGTTTGTTTGTGTTTCTGTGTCACTTTCCAGCCATTATCTGTTTACTTTGTTTTCTGTGAAATCATTTCTAACACTCCAGTGAACCTCCATACCGTTCAGAGCTCAGTCTTTAAGGGATTATAAAATGTGTGTGCACACAGTGCCCTCAGTGATTGCTTGTGACTGTTTGGAGTAAGACTCAATCACTTTGTTTTCTAGGCTCCTGGAGCAAGTTCAGCTTGACCAAAATCACCTAATGGAACTTTTTTTAAACATTCCAAATGTTTATTTTTACCAATGTGTAACATGTTTACTATGGTTTCACTCCAGGGAATACAATATTTTAATAAGAAACTGTAAAATAACTCAAGTAATGAAGCACTTTATATGAAAGCGCCGTGTATTTTAACTACTGATGCATTTTAGTAGTGATGTCCTTTTTATATTTGACTAAAATGTCGTCTAGATAAATGCAGCACTAAAATGTCCAGTTTTGACTGAAAAGTAATTCATCATGCCAGTTTTCATTAAGTTTTTAGATTTTGTTCATCTTGTTCAAATTACAAATAACAAGCATTGTAACTGAATTTGTATAGCATTGCTTGAATACTTTTTTTTTCCTCTAAAGAAACACAAAGTGTATGAACATGATCAGAATTAGAGCTGCTTTTTAAATGCAGCAAATTCTGTGCATCTTTTTTTAAAGGGAGGGGAATAGCTTTAGGGGCACGTTTCTGTAGTTTTAGTTTTTTCACTAATGAGTTGTTACTAATGTTACTCACCATTAACAGTGACATTTATTTACTGTTAGAAAAAAAAAACGTTCTCAAGACTGTTAAGGAGAGAACAGTCAGTACCGGTGTAAGTCATTCTAGTTTACACGGCAGGTAGTGGAAGACTGCCGATAACAGGGCAATGATAGGCTCAGACTATCCTGACCATCAGACTTGACTGTGCTCATTTCACATTGCTACAAGCTCAGGGTCCTCCACTGTTCGCGCTTGTACGATCACATGCGATCACATGAGAAGAGTTTGGGCAGCTGACCCCTACAAACTGAAATGACAGCCATATAATCTGCTTATGAGAGTTTGACCGTGTCAAACGGACTGATAGCCGCGGACACTCATTCGTATCACTGACGACAGGAAAGTCACAATGCTGCCCAGATTCTTAGTGTGATGAGAAATCTGCTCCATGTCAAATCCGATGTCATTAAAGGCCGTGGAGAACCCTGAAGCTAGAGAGGACGAGCAATAACAGAATAGCGATGATGATCTTGGGGGGGGGGAAAAGTCTTCCTGCTTGCACTAAAATTCTTAAAACTGTTTAAAAATGTTTATGGTGACAGTTTTCTAACTCTTCTGTAATTAAGAGTTTTCCAGGTGTGCAATAGATCTTATTTTAAGACAAATGGAGGGAGTACAAATCGTCTTGCACCTTGCCTTAACTGGTTCAGTAGGCCTTGGTTCCTGCTGGATCTCGTCATTTCTGTATCCGGTCTATAATGTTGAATCCTAGAATGGTCACTTGACTGCAGATGGATAATAGCTGTTTTTGTAGTTTGGTTTGTCTTTAAAAGTTCCGGCTTTGAAGGTCGATTGTTTCCCATTCAACGTTAAGCAGTCCGATCGGACCAAAACACTAACTTGTTCTTATTCCGGGGTTTTTCCACCCTTGGAAAGGTAAACCCCTTTTCCAAGAAGCGTTTAAAATGTTTTGACAAAGCCAAAAAAAATAAGGGTCTGGTTTTCCTGATAAAATCTAGGTGTGTTTAAATGAACATCATAAAAAGTTGGAAAATTACATTTTTGTGAATGCAATGATCATGGCAGATTCTGGGAAATTTAATACTGAGTGATGATTTGTAAATGATTCAAACTGGATTAGCATTTTGTCCTTTTGAACTGACATTGCAGCGTTTCCTGTTTATACAGCTCAATGATTTCAGTGATGCATACATGGTATATAAGGGCCATTGCCGTGCATTAATGCACAGTTAAATATTGCTTTGATAGCATGGGAATGGATAAACCAGAATATATCCATTCTTATCTTTCAATGAACTGGATTCATAGCAGAATTCATTGGTCAAAACTGAACTACCAACAACAAAAAATTGTGTGTAAAACTTACAGTAAGTGACAAACAGCTCTCAGTAGAGATAGTTTGAATGCTTATATGCTCTGTGCAAAACTTACTTTTGTGATCATTATTTTAGTATAAAAGCATGTTATGCAGGCTATTTCAAATGGGACTACACTAATGATACACATTTTTGTTGTGCTTTGTAATGCAAAGCGTGTTAACAACGGTAAAATGCTTCTTTAGAAATTATTAAAGCCAAATGTTTAAATTTTGATTAAATATGAAAGGTAGCTGTAAACGTAGTTTAAGCTTCCTGCTAATTTACATGTCTCTTACCTACATATTATATTACTCAGAAAACTAGATAGGAAGAAAAATAAGACCAAAGAAATCAATATGAACTTGTTGCTTAAAAGTCATTGATGTCCTTAAAACCTTACAAACAATTTAGGATGTGCTATAATGATCGGGATTCAAATTTTAGTAGCAGTCGGAATACCAGTTTGAGTCTTTCTCAGGATAACAGTACACAGTGAGTGACAGTGAGGTACAGTGTTATATGCAGCTACTGTCATCCATAGAGAATCTGCTACCTGGTCTCTCTGTGGTTCCAAACCAATGGGTCAGATGTAGCCAGGCATTGTTTGCCAAAGTGTGACTTTTACCGATTCCAATCAATAGAAATGATTTCCTAATCTGTACAATGTAATGATAATGTAAAGGCCTGTGTGTGATTATTGTTGATTTCTAAGCTTAGATCAGCAACAATGGTGTTGTTTAGTCTCCTCATGTTGAACTTTTCTCTGAAAGTCAGACTTACACAAATGTTCCATGATAACCATTGCAAAAATCTGGGTACTTCCACAATTATCTAAAGGACATGTAAGATTTGCATTTTTTTTCAAACAAGTATGGACTCCATCTACATAAGTTGTAAAATCGAATGCAGTAAAATCATCAGACTTAGTACGATCTATAAAATGGATCAAAAGCTTTACACAGCTCTAAATCTACTGTTGCAAGACGTGATTCCCTTTATTTTATTTGTGAATTTGAGGTTTTATTGTGCAGAAATCACTTGGGATGAACGGTTACTAGAAAATATTAAAATGAAATTGGTTACTAGTCTGGTGTAATAATAGCTTTTAGCTCCTAATTGCAGTAATTGTTTGTAAAATTGAACTAAATTTTGTTTTTTATATTATTTCTTATGTATCTCTTTTTTAAAAAATAATAAAATGAAAACTTTAACATATCGTGTGCAGTGTCTTTTTAAAATGAAATTTCATTTTTACAGCTACAAGATTTGGAATTTTTGTTTGACCACAGACAACTACACGTGTCATGCTGATAGAAATAGTTTTTTAATTTTGTATAGGGGTTTCCCTAATCAGCATTTTTCATGGTAAATGGAAATGTTTTCCTCTTTTTCTACTGTATGTGCACTTTTTTTAACGAAGTCTGAATAAGAGTTGTCTTCTTACTACTGTTACATGTGTCGGAAGGTATTTGTGATCTTAGAGAATGAAATGAAGAACATTTTACAAATGTTCAAAAATGTAACAAGATACATAATGTCAATAATGGGTCATTGGCTGTTTTCCGTATAAATAATTTGCCATTATTATGCTGCACTATAAGTTGTGCACGTAAACAAAACTATCTGTTTTGGGATCTTTTTTCTTTCCCCGCCATGAAAGGTTTACAATTACTGACAAGAATTTGTGACTCTGGCCTTCAGGGCACATTTCCTGAAACGCACAGCTCAACCTTTTAAAGAATCATTAAAAGGTTGCCTCAGTAGAGCAAGGCTATTCTTTACACAGCACTGGCTTTAACACTAATGTAAGAAAGAAAAACAATGAACAACAAAATAGATTCACTTTGACTTTTTAGTGCTCTTTTTAAAAAGAATTTTTTGGGAAAAAAATCAATACACTATTTTGAACTAAATACCCACTGTTCCTATAACCACCCCTTAAACAAAATACTCCTAAGACTCAGACTTCAGAGCTTTAAATCCCCTAGTTATGCAAACCTCATTTTTAATTTTCACTTTCAGTTTTAAATTGTTCACTGTGGTTTCCCTTTTATTAAAAACTGCTAAACAGTGGTTTACAAAAACTAAAAAAAGCTATGCTTTTTTTGGGGGGAAATTTAATGTTTGAAGTTAAGGGACAAAAAGCCTGATGGAGGTTAACAACGACTGTCTTCATAGTCTTTTTGTGATTCATTTTTGTATCTTTCTCCTTGATGTGTAGGTAAAGCAACAGCTGTCTTGACAAGAAAGAACAATATAGAGTTTAGAAATGTGTTCCCTTATTTCATAAAATTTACAAATGTGGTGTGTACTTTGAATAAAAATGTACTTGCTTATTCTGTTACGAAAATACGTTAAACAAAGTAAGACAAGAGCTTTGTTTTTTTTATTGGAGAGGCCAAACATTTACTAGACTATTTGGTCTATTTTCTGGTTTGTGTTAAGTGCAGAACACCTCTCAGTTTGAAGAAAATTTGTGAAAGAACTAGGCAATGTAACTTTTTTAACACGGGTATGCTGGACTTGACTGAATAATGAACATGAATAATTTTCAGATTATTTATTCAATTCCTGGGTACTGTGTAAGAAGATGAAAAGTGCAGTGATGCTGTTCTCAGTAATGCAGTAGATTTATAGAGGGAAAGAATGGTGAAAAACTGTCCTAGTTTTTACAATAACATTTCTAAAGTTGACTCACACTATTAGAATAAAACTAAATACAGTACATAGTACATAAAGCTAAAATGTGAACACATTTCTTGTAAAAGTTTTTAGCACAGTAAGTTTAGTGTAAGAACTTGAACCCTTGAAATGGTCGTCACAGCTATGGAAAACAATCCTATAAACTGTCAAGGCAACATACTGGCAAACTTGTAGACAGTTTTTCCTGCGAACAAACAGATTGCATGAGAAAACACCTCATTAGATTTGGTTCATAACCACAAATGGGTGTGTGAAAAACATTTTACAGACAAACCATTTATAACATTGACAAAACAAAATCCAGTGCCTCATTTGCAACCTAGTAAGCAGACCTTAGCATTTCATTAGAGCGCACATCAATCTATACTCGAGGACTTTCAAATATGAGGATATATCTGAATACATTTGCTCAACATTTTGTGGCTGTCGAAAAACGAGCATGTAGCAATCACTTGCATTAAAAAACTGCTAAAGCTGAACATCTGTACTACAGACCTATTTCCAGATAGATGGTCATCACAAAAAAGACTGCTTTCTTTTTCTTATTACTTAAAGAAGATGTTTAAAATCAATAGAAAAGGCACTGATAAGAGACAGGAAACAAATGTGGCTATGCCTCAAGTTGTGTTCGTTATTTTACATAGAGCATGTATACTCCATTACCTGCAATGTGACGGACTGTATATATTCAAGATTGCCTGTGAAGCTATTTAACTGGACCCACACACAGCACTCGCAGTATATTAATGAAGTTGTTTTCTCGGTGCTGCCCTTTTACCTTATCTAGGAGAGATTGTGTAGATAAGGCTGGTATTCACGGTCTGTGTCACTACAGCCTGTTCGGAATCACTATTAAGGTGTCCCAAGAACATTAAGCCCTTTTGACTACTGCTTTTCAGACCTTGATTTACTTCTGGGGTGAATCTGTTCAGTGTTTTAAAGTGGTACTACCCCCTCTCTACTGATCCACAGTCAGTTGGACATTTCCTCTGAGTGCCTCCAGTGATGCTTCACAGCCCTGGTGAACTAGCTGTCTGTGCACGGCTGTGACTAAGCCAGTGAAAAACGAACACTCGGGTGACTTATTTGAAAATGAGGCTGTGTATATTTTAGATCTCAGTACATCTCAATAAAACACGCTCATGACTTGGGTAAACATTTTCTCTTGGTTCTGCAAGTCAAGGTTTGCAGACAGCACAGTTCTCTCTGGCTGAAATCAGGGTTGGGTTTGACGCAGCTGGAAGCAAGAGAAAGTCGTGGAGCTGCCACACAGTCTGGCAGGTGTAGCTCCAGTGTAGTCTTCACCTGAAGACAGGAAGAACCTATTATATGACTGAAAGGTACGGTCCCTCCACAGAGTCGAAGCCTTGACTCCTGAGAGTACAGTTTGGCTGGGCGTGGTCCTTGGGCTGACCAGAGAGCGGGCCTACATGTCCTCGTCATCCTCACTCATGCCGACGTCCAAGTCCTTGTCCTTGCGTTCCACGGTCTCCGTCACAAACTCCTTCTGGATCCTCTCCAGCTCCCGCAGCTCCGCCTGCAGCTTCTCCTTGTGGAAATCGCGTCGGCTCCTCAGGAGCTTCATCGGGAAGGGGTTCATGCTGTAAAACGCGATGTTCATCAGCTTCCTGTGGCCAGAGGGGAGGAAGAACAAAGTTAGCAACAGCCTTGTGTTGAATTTTGTGCTGAACCAAGCTTTGCCTATTGCAGGACCAAAGTCACTTATCTGTTGTAAGAAAGATACTGATATTACTAAACATTGTGCCCTCTTATGTGTGTTCTCAGTTTGGTGATTATGCCCGTAACCTTGATCTCAAAGTAGTTTAACTACTGCATCATAAGACCTTGAAAGATTTCTCAGAGCCGATCATAAAAATGAAAACAGCAAGAGAGATGTTTCATATTTGAAACGCAGAGGGTAAATGTACTTCAGATGCATCTTTCAGGCCTTTGCAATGAAGTAAGCCCAGCACTATCCCTTATAGACACCTCAAGGAGCCCATGAAAGGCAGGAAAACAAATATGAAAAAAATATTTTTCTTAATATTTATTATGAAAAAAAGCCAGAATATTATTTTCAAATGTTTATGTTAGGATATGTTTTTTTTTTAAAAGACTGAGCATTGAGTGTTCTGTATGGATTTATTCTGCATGGGGTACTGGCTATAATTACAGCGGGGACTTCGGAAGTGTGCAGTCAGTAATTGTAACTGCATGTATAGCCACATAAAATTGAAGCAGACAGCTTTTGCTTCTTTTCCATAGGTTCTTATTTGCAAATGAGTAAAATGCAACAGGTGAAGCATTTAATGAATGTGTGCTTTTAATGGCTCTGAAATTAAAGTTTCAGACATGTTTCCTCTTTTATAATCAAACTTTGTCTTGCTCATGAGGAAGTAAACGAGTGGTTAGCATTGCTGGGGCCCTGGGATCAATTCTGGACCTGGGATGCTATTTGTGTGGATTTTTTACGTTTTCTCCATGTTCGTATGGGGTTCCTCCCACAATCTAAAAACATACTGGTGAGGTCAATGGCTTCTAGGAAAACTGGCCCTGGGCTTGAGAGTGTGCGTGTCTGTGTCTATACGTCAGCCTGTGATGGACTGGCGTCCCTTCCAGGGTGTACCCTGTCTTGTGCCCGCTGCTCGCCTTGCCAGGATAGGCTCTGGCAATTGGATTAAGGGGTGACGAAATGGATGGATGAATATATAAGAAGAAGGAGGTGACTTCTGTCATAAGAACAGTTAAAAAGAACACATTTGGTAGACATGTCAATGTGCTCAAGCTGAAATCTCCACCCCAGATTCCTGTCGGTATCCCTGAAGCTGCGCATCTCTTAGTGGGCGTAGGTCTTACCTTCCATCAGAGACAGTCCTGGTGAAGAACCTTAGGTACTGGTAGATCTCCACATTGCCTTGAATCTTTAAGATGTCCTCTTCTTTATACTTAAAGAGGGCTAGTGCATAGCGAAATATCACCTAAAAAATATAAATGAAAGCACTTTGAACATTTCAGTTAAAAAATTTGCCATTGCACATTGTGCAATAACGTTTATTGAAACATCCATAGCTCTTGTTTTCCACAACAGTGACCAGGAATGATTCTCCATATCGAGAATGGAATGACTGATATCTCAGATACTACATAATAAACAACACTCAGATGGGATAGGAATTACGCATGCGATCATTGTGATTCTTGTTTAGCTTGTTTATTCTGAATGGTGAGGATGTAGTATAATGAGATTGAATCCACTATTACATTAATCCACTATAGCTGAGGCCCCACTTGAAAGCCATATTCCCATTAGTCTACGCCCTTCAAAAGTAATTACCTCTTCCTGTACCACGTCCTTAGGGAAAAATGGAAGTCTAATGATGTGTGTGCCAGAGACGAAAGCAATTGTGTTCACTTACAGCTGGTAACTTCTCATTTGAAGTTGTCTCCTTTTTCACTGTGCTTCTTCACTCAGTATGGGGAATATCTGCTCTGAACTCAATTACCTCGATTTACCGAGCAAGTGCTCTATTAAAGGTCATTTTCTCTATATGCTAAGGGCAGTGAAAGTCACTTCCACATTACTAAAAAATCTAAACTCTTGATCTTTGAACTTTTGTCTAGATTGAATTACTTCAAAAAGTGCAGTATTATTCCTGCCAGCAGCAAGAGGAAATTCATTGTGAAAAAAGCAGTACATCTTCAAGAAGAAACAAAATCCTATGAATCACAGTAATGTCAAAAACAAAAGGAGAAATCAAGAAGATACTCCACAGACAACAGTAAGCATAGATCATAGACCCTTGATTGTAGCTAAGCCTCAGTTTTATACCCGATGAAAAGATATTCCATGATCTGTGAGTAGAGAGAAAAGATGTCTATATCTCACCTGATTAAAAAAAATAAGGCACAAGATTGATGGATCAAGGGCCTCTTTCTAATCTAAACTATTCTAATGTTCACAGGTCCAAAAATATTTGAATTTAGCATTATAAGCTTGGCAATTAAGATGATGTGCCACATTCCTTTTTCTCAATTTTTTAAAGATTTGTATAAAAGGGCTACTTTGTGCAATCAAAAGAGGTTAATATTTCGGAAACGGGTAATCCCCTAAAACAATAATCAATACGAATTTTGTGCTTAGCCATGGCCATCAATAATGGCCATACATGCCAAACAGAGGCTTGAATAGGAGCAAACTCGATGACCTGGAACCTTCCTATATCTGTACGTTATACATGGATTGATTAAAAAAAAATTTTCTATCATTCAATAAAGACATTTGACTGGGGCCTTGCGATTCTTCAAAAAGTCAGAATTAAGTCTTAATTTAAAGCTCAGAATATAGACTAGAACAGAGGGTCGTGCTGAATCTTAAGTAGATTGAGCTACAGTGAAGGGAAGCACAGGGTTTCTTTGTGATTAATTAATTTATAGAACTAAGTAGCCATATCTAACAGAAAAGGCCTGTTCACTGGTTCTTCTTTGATTCCATATGTTTGGCTGATGGGACCCAAGGTTTTCTTTAATGTTCTGGCATTTTTTTACACCACAGATAACTCTTCCTCATGCTGGGTTATTTGGGAATCTTCAGAAATGAACCACATACTTTTAGAATTCCCCCCCCCTAAGTTGAGCAAATTCATCATAGTAGAAAATTTTACTTTATTAATGAAAGCAGTACAACAGAGAAGAATGGGATTCATGAGATTAGCAAAGCACGCTGTCGAACTGCAAGCCTGCAGTTTTACTATTCATAATTTACATTTAATAACAACGCTATGTTTTGTGACTTCAAGTTAGGTTTAAAATGGGGCCATTATTTCAAAATAAAGCTAAAAAAAGAGGCAGCAATCCAGAAGAAGCCTTTGAATCTCCACCCTACCTTGGTTCCCTCATACAGGAAGGCATCCCACACACGCAACAGGATGTCACTGGCTAGACTCTCCACAAACACCACCAGGAACCAGTTAAAGGTGATGAGGGAGATGTCAATGTCGTGCTCTTCAAAGTGAGCCATCAGGCGCGGCATCTTCTCAGCCATGAAGTCCTTCAGCACTCTCTGGTCAGCCTGCAAGTGACGAAGGGGAAAACAGTCATTGCACATACACGGAAAAGGAAAGATTCATATAAAACATGAGTTTCTCAGCTAGGGGAGATCAGAAATAACGTCCGTTAATTATGCTGAGACGAGGGAACACAATGATGTTAGAAAATTGTTGAATGGTCGTCCTTTTTTTTAAACTGTGTGAGGAAAAGTTAATTTATGATTTCTTTACAAGGCGGCAGTGCTGCATGAGTTCACCGAAGGACATGTGGAGGTGGAAGAGTACCTGGGAGGCGGTGAGCGTCTTGCTGTAGTAGTCTTGAGGCATTATGTAATCTACTATGGCCACCAAACACCAGAAAGCGTCCTCCTCGTTCTCCAGGACTAGGAGCGCGATTGCTGCCAGCCTAGGAGAGATGAGTTACAGTCACACTCCTCTCTGCACGCATGCTGCAACCGAGACGTGTCAGGGTCACACAGATCCCTGGGTATCTCCCCTCCAGGGTAAATAAGGGCGCTGATGGAATGATAAGACTGTAATCATATCAATAATTAAAACACAGGCCCTGAGACCAGCATGCTATGTCAGAAAATTCTAGTTTCACCACTTAAAATCGGGGAATGTCAAATGATCACAGCACAGTTTTTTTATACTCCAGTATACTGTAGCTTGATAACAGAATATTGACCAGGCAGCCTAATCTAGACGGGCTGAAGAGAAACTTATTACAATAAATGACACAAATACACCACACACTATGATTTACTGTTATATACTGTAGACACTATAACGGATACCGATACTGAGTTTCAGATTCCTACTTAATCCAGACATCAAAAACCTGGAATTCTGTCCCTATGAAATAGGGGCCATTCAGCCATTCTGACCCACTTAATCCACCGAAGGTTCATTCAGTACCCTCAAATAAATAAGACACCAAACCCTTTTTTATGAAGAGTACTCTTTCAGTGCTCAGATTTCCTGGACGAAACCTGGGTTCAAATCTGCTGGGCAGTACAAACATTTATATCCAACTACTTATATCCAAGCACTTTTCTTTTAACATTCTGTGAAGGGATGTAAAGTTCTGTGGTCTGAACTACATTTCCCACAAATCTCCCTGGAAAGTCCTGGTCCCCTCAGTCACCTGACCAGATGCTACAAGACAGTTGACTTAAAAACCAGGAAGGAGGAGAAGGGCACTTGGAGAGAAGAGTGAAAGAACAACCGAACAGAGGGCAAAGTGCAGGGCTGCGAGTCTGTGTGACGTGAGTGTTTTTGAAGTCAGGAAGCAGCTCGGCTGCCTGGTTTCTATTAAAGACGAACATTAAGAAATGTTAGGTTGTAGCTGAAAGAGGACCTTAAACCTTTATTCTGGTTTGGGGATTTAATTGCAGTTTTCCTCACACTGTAAATGAAGAGCACTATTTTTATACCTTATGGCTGTGTTTATGTCTGTTTTCTAAGGACACACCTATTAAAAGATTTTTTACAACTCCCCAAGCCTCAAGTGTGTCACAGTTCTTTATATGTCTCAAGATTACAATTAGAGATCCACTAGGTGGCTGTGTTTCCCTTGTGCTTCCCAAATTACATTAATAACCATCACCATCATTGGGTGGTCATCTGGTAGTTACAACCTTGAGACAAAAGCTGTTCTTTATATGCTGTGCTTCTTAATAAAACAGTCAGAAATTGTATAATTCAATGAGATTAACATCACTAGCAACTAACTACATATTCCATGCTACATGATATATACTGAAAATTTAATAAATTAGAAATTACCTTAAAGCCTTTGTAGAACATAGTATTATAAGATACTACATTTAAACAATTTATTCAGAATTGTACTGTACTGGAACAATTTCATTGCAAATATAATCATAATATTTCCCGATTATATTTTTAAATGAATGTTTTTTTAATTCTGTGCTCTCAAGTTCAGAATGGAAAATACGATCTCAACCCATCTCCAGGTAGTCAAAAGGATTCGTCGTGTGAGAAGAGTTTTCAGTGTACTAATAATAATTTTTATAGCGTCATCCCAAGTATACAAAACCACTCCGCAGTTGGGACACACCCTTTCCATTCACCAGTGAAGTGCTGTGCTCACCTGGGGGCTGTCAGCTGCCATTCTGCAGAATCAGCCCCACGACCCAGCAGATCAGATGGAGTAGAGACACTGCTTCTCTGATTAACACCCTAGGTGCCAGAGACTGCTAACGACGAATGAGCATTCTTTATCTCATCTGAAGGAGGGCAGGGCATACCACAGCTGTCCCTGTCCACTGTACTAGACCAATGGTTTTGAAATTCTGGTCCAGGTGGGAAGAGTGCCACCTACTGGTCCACCAACACCACTTTTACAGCAGTCTCCTGGTTCCCCTCACATGTCCCCCCATCCCAGTACTGCCCTATCCCAGCCTCGCTGAGCTTCTCAGATCTGAGGAGATCAGGCTAGAGGGTGACCACGCTGCTACAAGAAAAACCACTCTGGAGTCCCCACATTGCATATCCACTATGTGTACTGACTTTTTTTAGAAACCGCGCAGTATATTCTGAATTGTTAGGAGTGAAAAGGCATTTTACAGAGCCCTTCACCCGAGGCCAAGGGGAGGAGCGGAGAGCGGAAGTCAGCTGACCTGTTGAGGCCCTGGCAGTAGCCGATGGCGGGGTTTTGCCAGGAGAAGGCCAGCAGGACCCGGCGCAGCTGCTGCACGGCGGTGCTGGTGGGGGAGGCGAAGGACTTGTTGCTGGTGAGGGTGCGGTGCAGGTCCAGCTGAATCTGGCGGGAGACTGGGTGCTGCAGGGCCTCGCCCTTCCTGCACAACTCCTGGTAGCGCTGTGGGTGGGACTCCCGCAGGCCCTGGGTGCGGGTCCTGACGATCCAGCGCCACACCTGCGGCCGGTACTCTCTTGGCACGCCGCAGCGGATCAGCCCCTTCAGCTCCGGCGAAGGCACCAGCTTGCCGGAGGGACGCCCGCCCATGTAGTGCGCCCAGCGGCCCAGCAGGGGCTTGTCCACCATGTCCTGGTGCAGCAGGTTATGGGAGCGGATCTCCAGGGCCTGGATCTTGGCGAGCAACTGCATGTCCTCTACCTCATAGTCTGGGACGATCTTGAAGCCGTACTCATCGTGCTCCCTGAATCGGGCAAAAGAAGGCAAGGGCGGCTTCAGATGGTTATGAAGCTGAGAAGAAAGTGATCTCAATTCCTTGGGATCCTTGTCTGATCACTGGACAGCACCTTACATCGGTATGCCATCTGCATGCCCATCAATGCTGCTTAAACTTTGCCATTATTCAAGTTGACTACTCACAGGGCCTTGTAAAAGGAGTCACCTCCTTCCAACAATCTTCAATTTTGTTGAATTATAAATGACGCCCAAGTTTAGAGAACTAGAAATTGTTACTAAAGAGAATGGATGATATTTGTATTCTCCACTCACCACCTTGACTCAGGTTCTCCCGGACAATAAAACAAACTCACAAGCTCTGATTCAATTTCATATGATAATAAAGGGTAAGTTCTGCAGTATGAGAGTTGGGCACAGTGTTTGGCTGTCTATGTCAAGAAACCCGAGAGCGAGACCTCAGTGCATTTGGACTTGCATACCTGATGGGGTTGACCTTGGGCACATCTTTCATGTCTTCCTTCAGTGCGTCTTCAATCAGCTTCTTGAGCTCCTCCTGCTGCTTAGTGCCCAGACCCTTGATCTCCTGAAGCTTGCGAAGACGAAGCAGATACTTGCTCTCCATCTGACAGTACCTGGCCTCCAGGTAGGCGCACTGTGGCAGAAACAGAAAGATGCTTAAAGCTGAGTGACAGCCTGGGACAGTACAGTAGGTCAGGTTGAGATCTTCCATTGATCAATTTGCAGCACTATTAGTAACACGAGAACAGATCCTATGGTCCATTATGGTTCACCCGCAGTCAATAAGTACTTCCTGAAGAGAGGCCCAGTGTACCAGAGAAACAACAGTGTTGTAACTGTTCTAAACATGCCTTTATTACACTTTCACGGATGTTGGTAGGTAACTGAGTCTTTGCTGTTAAATAATAAGAACAATAAAAAATGGAAGCATTCTTTAGAAAAATATACCTTTGCTAAATATGGGCAGATAGGTGCTAGACTTGTCCATTCATGCTCCATTCTCTTACTGTGTTAGGCACTGTATCTGCTACTGAAGAGAAGTGTTGCTAGCTGTGGTTTTGGCTGTGTGGACAGTGATATATCTGGGCTCTCTGGCCTCACTGTGGTTTTGTGGTGGGCCATTGTTACAGAGTAAGACTTTCATAATTGACATTAGCTCATCTATTTTAGGAAGCCTACATTGATTCCTCTGAACTTCTCAAGTACACTATAATATGTTTTATTTTATGTTTCATTTTATTATCTAAAGGGAAAATTACAGTGTGAATTACCCATATCACTCTTAATTCTATATAAGCACTGATATTTCCCTTGAAAATGGGGGAAATTCATTGACCTTGTCTGTCTTCTGTGCAACACCATTCTGTCAGTCTTTATAAGGTCTAGTGTAACATACTCTCCACACAGTCCATGCTGTGTTGCATCAATTTATTTTAAGGGTCATACACCTTGTCGAGTGTTAGATAATACCTACATTAGTGAAACGTAACATTTAGTTATTTATTTGTAACCCAGTCAGTCTTCAGAAAGGAACTGTCCACGTGTGTTCAGTGTATGAAGAATTAACAAATGAATTACAGGAGACTCCTAAAATAAATGGTTACTATTGTGCGCATGATAAAGCTTTGCCTAATGTTTATGTGGACAAACTACTTTGTGACCAGTTCTGATTTACTTCTCATACATAGCTGGTGGCATGACATGTCCTCATAGATGAGGCCTCCAGCTCTCACCTTCATCATCAGGCTCTTCTCCTGCTCTGAACTGTTCCTCCACAGTTTGGTAAGCTGGTAGATTTCCGAGTTTAGGAACTTGTTTTGGATTTTGTATGCCTCAATATCATCCTAGGGAAAGTAAGCAATAAATGAATGAGATTGATAAAGAAACTACTAAGGGTGCTCAGACATGAATAGTTACAGAATTTCACTGGAGATTTCCACTGTAAAGCACAGTTAGATCCTAGTATTTACAGAGTAATCTTGAAACAGTGGATGTTCCTCATCAATTAAAAAAAATACTTCTTTCTCTGAGAAAAATAATTTTCACCTATGCACACAATTTAGATGCAGTCTTATTTCAGCTATAGATGATAATGAACAGCTGTCATTCACAGCTAGCATTCTCAAAAGTAAACCAGAACATAATTCAGGAGCTACAGTATGGGAAGCACATTACTGCAGCAGTAGATAAAAGTTGAACTGGGGGTTTCAAATATACACCAGAGTGAAAAACAAATAAACAGGAATTTAGTATTGACTCAGATTCAAATGCCTAACTAGAACAAAGCCTTAAACTAATAGGATGGTTTCCTGGTGCTGGAATACTTTCATAATGCCTTTTCTTGCCCTGCTTCCTTGCTTATTGTTGTGAGTGACAGATATAAAACAGTCCACTTCCCTTCAATGCAAATTGCTGCATTTTTAATACATCCATCCTTCCATTTTCTGACCATTTCATCCAATTTAGGGTCACAGTGGAGCTGAAGTCTATCCCAGCAATCAATGGGCACAACGTGGGGTACGCAAGTCCATCGCAGAGAATACACAAACACGCTCACACTCAAACCAGGGCCAATTTCCCAGGAAGCCAATTCACCTATCAGTATCAGGTACTGAATGACAAAAGTCCCATTCCTGGATTTAAAACCTTGGAGTGCGATGACCCCCTAACGCAGCGAGAACGCACAGACCTTCAGGTTCTCCGCTTGCTCCTGCAGCTGGCGGAAGGTCTCGGCGCTCACGCTGTTAAGGGTGGCACAGTGGGGGTCGGCCATGCAGGCCGACACCTGCTCCGAGAGCTTGAGGATGACCTCCTGCTTGGCGTGGTTCTTCTCCATCATCAGCTGCACGTGCTGCTGGAGCTCGGCCACGTGGCCGTCCTGCTGGGCCAGCCGCTGCTCCAGCTCCTCCTTCTCCCGCTGCAGGGCCTGCAGCCGCCCCTCCAGGTCGGCCGCGCGCCGCTCCTGGTGCCGCAGCAGCTCCAGCCGCTTCTGCTCCCCCCCGGCCGACAGGAACTGCGCGCAGGTCCGCTTCTCCTGCTGGGCGGCCTCCAGGGCCTTGTGCAGCAGCCCCACCAGCTCCTGGGGTGGACAAGGGCGACAGACAGGCCACATGCTCAGTGGGAGGCGCGGGGCTCGCCTGAGGATGCTGGGCGAACTCGGGATTGGACCGTATGTGCCCCACAGAGTGAGAGGAGACCTTTGCAGGGCCCTGAAAACCCTGAAAAACTTCTGGAAAATAGCCTTTTTGTGAATTTATCTGCTACCTCTTGAGTGCATTTCTGGACCTGTTGGTTTTAAATACATGCAGTACATTTTATAGAGGTGGCACTAGATTATCTGCTCATCGCAAGGGCCCATAAGAGGTTTCTTGGACCCTCTGGAGAAGAGAAAGGTATTTTTTTTAGAAGCTCCGCTAATACACCAGTACTAGCTCAAGCTGAAGAAATATCCCCACTGCTGCAGCCCTTCGTCATAACTGCCGTTGTACCACCGCAGTACAACGGCAGATTTCTAGATGCACGAGTTGAAATTTGGTGTCAAACTGCTACATGTTCTACAAAGGCTTTGGGTATAAAACAGGAAAATGTTTTTTTTTTCAGTTTCCTCTGCACAGAGAAAAAAAAAAGTCCCCTGCCCTGCATGAAAAGCTAATCTGATAGGGCTCACGCAGATGTGAAAGCCAGGCTGTGGTTTGCCTGCAAAATCTAAAGGATTTTTCATTCAAAAGCAAGAGGTAAAAAAACACAACCCAAGAAAGGGTGATAAATGGAAGCTTCAGGTGAGAAAGGATGCTTTGCCAAATCAATATTATTAACAGAGACAAACTTAACAATGGAATACCCTTTGCAAATACTGTACACATCCGTTCAAATATTCTTTCAGCAAAGAGAACTTGAGAACTATGTTATTATATTCAACAAATCCTACAGCATCACTAATTGCCACACCACAGTTGCACTCTTTTCTTGCAAAATTCTGGTAACATCTGCATGTGCTGAAAAACGTCAGTTTTATTTATCATTCACAAAATTCAAATTTTGAAGGCGGCTTCTACAGATAATCGCTGGTTTACCTGAAACCAGCTTACTTGTTTTCCATTTTCTAGAAAATCTGGAGAGGACTCATTATCTTGAAGGCCCTGGTCATGGGTCCAGGTGGCTTTAAAGACTCAATTTCGGAGAGCTACAATAGGAGAAACAAGGTATGATGGGCAAACGAAGCCCGGCACAGAGCTCTACCTTCTGTGACTTAAGCTCCTTGGTGAGGGTGAGGACCTCCTGCTGCAGCCGAGAAGCTCTCTCGCTGGCACCGGCCTCCTTCCTCTCAGAGGGGAGTGTGAGCGGGATGCTCATCTTCTTCTCCTTCTTCCGGGAGTTGTCGCATGGGGACCTCCTTCCCCCCAGCTGGGCCTCCTGCCCTGCCTCAGGCAGCAACAACACGGCGGAGAGTGGGCGGGGGTCAGGGGTCACGGCAGGCACTGGAGGGGGGGCAGGTCACAGAGAGACTCTTCACACTCCATATCCCCGTTCTTGTCCTAAATCCAGCATTTTCACGAGCCCATTGTGATTTCTGTGCTACACAAGACCCTGCAGCACAGCCGCTGCGTGAGCCAAGAGGTGTCTCCTTCTCTCACGTTTATCGTGAACACCAACCAATTTTATAGAAAACGTCATAACAAATGATAGCCAAGCCCATCACTTCAAAAAGAAACATTTGTGAAGCAACAAGTAAAGGTTTATTCCATGCTGAAAAGAGAAGAAAAGAAACACAATGCTTCGGCACCCAAAACGTTTCACGTGACACCCGAAGAAGGCCCCACAGCCGAAACGTTGCATTTCTTTTCGGCTCTTTTCAGCATGGAATAAACCTTTACTTGTTCCTTTGCAGCCTATGCATGCTGACGCAGCTACCTACTGGAAACATGTGAGCCTATGGTCATGAAAACCAGCTGATAATGTATAATAATGCTCTGCACGTATCCTGTTTAGCTTACCATTTGAATTGCTCCAACCTGACACACTGAACAGAGCTGTAAGAGCTGTCTACTGAGAAAAGGTTATGACATTTTATGACTCACTTCTAGGCACTCTGTGGTTAAAGACACAGATCATTACAGCAGTGCCCACTCTTCTACTTGCATAAATATTTAGAATGGCTATATCGTTTATTTTAATCAGATATGTTAATTCAAGACAAATTTGCATTTATGGAGACGGCCAGGATAGTCAGGGAATTCACTGGCGCAATCTGAGTGAAGCGCCTTGCAAAAGGGTACAACAGCAGAGTCCCAGCCGGGACCTGGTCCCATGACCGTCCTGTCAAGAGCCTTAACCGCTGCGCCACCACTACAGTGGCACCAGGTTTTGCGAAGAAATAAAAAAAAGGGCTTGATGCTTTGGCCGATACTAACTCCTGACGAAGGTTCAACAGCTGAAACATTGTGTTTCTCCTTATCAGCATGGAATTAACCTCAACTTTCAAAGCATCCTGAGAACTATGGAGTGCCGTGTTCACTTTTCTAAGAAGACTCAGGGCTCCAGCTTCCCAGGGATGGACACTATAAAATGGACATGGAAAGGACGAACCTGCATTTTCCTCGGTCCTTGGTGGGAGAAGCTCCTTATTGGATGGGGTGGGAGGCAGCTGAGGCTCTTCAACATGGAAGACACTACATCCGAAATCGTGGGACGATCGACTGATTCGAATACTCTGCACCTGGTTTCTGTCAGAGCAGTAGCAACACACACAGACCAATGGCTGAGGACAAGACGCTCAACAAGATGCAAGTGATTCTCACTCTTGGCCCCAGAGAGTCAAAGCGTCTTTTTCCATCTCCCTCAATCCACTTGAGTTCTGAATGACTTCATTGAACCAGTTATAAGCCTCTAATCTTGCAGGAGTCTGACTCCCCTATAAAACCTGCAGGGCTGAGTCTCTCCAGGACCAGTGAGAATCACTTATATACAGTATAGCAGCACAAACAACCCCTCAGGGATTCAAACATCAGGGAGGAAAACAATTACCTTTTGTTTCCAAGATTTAATATGATTGTAAAATAAGACAATAAATAAAACATTACATACTGTATGAGGGAATACGTTGGTGCCTTCGTTAAGTGCAAGTAAATACTCAAGACAAGAGTCAGATATTGAGTATTTACCCTGTATAATTAGTCATTCAACATTTGTGACTGAGGTAAATTCATTTTTGTGTCTTTGCTCCTATATTTTGACCAGGCAAGAGGATTTGATTTGTTACTTCTGCCACCTTTCTCTGGAGTGGACAGTTCTTGCTATAGACTATGGTCTGGATAATTTTTGACTGTTTAACAACATAAAGCCATCTCTGTTGTATTTAATTTTTTTAAGAACCTTAACTTAATTAACCCCCGTCAAATTGTCTGGCTTGGGATTAAAGTTAGAAAGGACAATTAATTTTTAAAAGCAACATCTAACCACTGCATTTCTGTGTGTCACAAATACAACACAATAATGAGTAAATGGGCCAAAACACAGCCCCTGAACCTCACTGTCAGGGGGCATGAGAAGAAAACAGGAAGCTGGAACACCTGCCTGGCAAGTGTCTGCTGCAATCCACGGGAAGATAAAGCAAAGCAGGTTTACTTCTGTTTTTTTATCTATTTCAGCATTTGTGGAAGCTGATGGGCTGTGTCAATTGGACAATACCTACATGAGAGAACACACTGCAACTTCTCTATTATGTTTTCAAAGAGGCTCCCAGAGGCCTGTGGATAATCAATGATGTTGCCAACCTTCCATTTCGCTAAAAGGGCCCATTTTGAGGAGAGGACCTGAGTGAAAACGTGGGCTAGCATTTCAAACCGGCAAGAAGTGTCAGCCGGAAAGATATGGTCACATAAAAAAAACAAAGGGGAAACTTTCTTAAGAAAGTGAAAAAAACATATAACCATATAACATATGGTTATAAACATATAACCCTCAGCAGTTCCTAGGAACTATGTGTTCGTTACAATATAAATGAAAACTGAAATTGACTCCTGTTATTGGATGTTTGAGATCTTTATCCATGATAATCTCCATATTCACTCCTTTTCACAGAGGTGGGACTATGAAAGCAATGAAGTATGTGTAAGATTTACTGTAGGTTAGTAACTATAATTTCAAATGAATTTAAAATGCTCTAACGATAGAATATTATTATTTATATCTAGCACATGTGTACATTTACTGTATTCCTTCATTTTTTCTAGTTCTTCAAAGTCCAAATTGAGGAATCTGAGCAGAGTTAAGTATTCGTTTATCACAGCAACAGATGTATGATCAATATTCTCATTTACAGGAAGTCCCACATCTGTCGTTGTCTTGTTTAAATATACCACACACTGTAAAATTAATGCCTGAAAGACAAACTTCCTTTTGGGTCAAATGGGTATTTTTCTATTTTCAAAAAGACAGTCAACCTTTATTTCCCCCACTGACATAAAGAGAACAATTCAACTTTACCATGAACAGCGGCAGTTAAGATCAACTGATAACAGATCTGGTGATTTCAATTTTCCTCCCTAGTTTTCTTTGTAAGTTTTACAAACATTTCATTTCTTTCAACCATGAAAGTGCTCCAAATGGGACATCACAAGAAGGAGGTGAATGCAATTATATATATATAATTAAATGTATCGCAACAATTGATTTGACTTTCATCATACTAGTATACAAAATTGTTTATCATCATGATTACTAATTTGTCTGATGCTTTGATCCAGAGCGATGTACAGTTGAAAATGATCTTAATGGCTCCAAACATTGAATGTGGCAAATTAATCACAATAAGATTAACCATGAGAAGTTAACAGATATAAATACACTATCAGATGTAATTTGGTAAAGGCTGAGTCTTAAAATAAAGGGGAGTTCCTGTTTGTTAAGTGTTTGAATTGTCCCTGCAATGCTATTGCTACTAATTTCATCACTCTCATCAAATATTTCCTTTGTAGTCATGTCAACCACCAGAGAAAGCACCAGATCTGCAGCCGTGTGACCTAATTACTTCACTGGGATGCAACTATTGTTTTTTGCATTGTGTACTATACAGTATATGAAAATCCTATAAGAGGTGGAACATCACGTAACCAAAGGAATTGATTAACTTGTAAGACAAGTGTTAGATGAATGATTGCTTTCATGATTTTAAAGCAAAATATGTTCCTTTAATGCTCTATGGTTGAATATAAATACTGTAAGAAATAAATCTTAATCTGGAAAATGGCTTAACAGCAACCATAAATACACACTAAGTTTAATCTGAATTGAATGTATGATTTCTCCCCCGTGTAATTTAATTTAAGCCAGGTCAGAACCTGTGGAGAAAGATGACGGGTACCTGAGCACAGATGCAAACTAATCAAACTATTTTTAATACAGTCGATGCTCCAAACGTATCTGGTTTCCTGTCCACTTTAACTATTTGACTTCACCTGAATAGAGGCCCCGAATAAGGGCCTGCTTTTATCTCGCTACTTTCATTGCCAAACATCATCCCTTATAAAGAGTTTTAGATAGCAATTCTTTTCTCATGAACATTAATAAAGCATGCAAAGGAACAAGTAATAGGTTTATTCCATGCTGAAAAAAAGAAGAAAGAGAACACAACGTTTCGGCCGTGGAGCCTTCTTCAGGTGTCAGAACGTTGTGTTCTCTTTCTTCTTTTTTTCAGCATGGAATAAACCTATTACTTGTTCCTTTGCAGCCTACGCATGCTGACGCAGCTGCCCACCTGAATTAATAAAGCATTTCAACCTTGCTGCTAAAATCCTTTCATTCAATGTCATTTTTGTATCTTAATTTGAGAATGTTCATAGAATGTGTTTTTGGTGTATGTGGATTGGTGGGGGGGGCACTTTAGGATACCCCAAACACTGTTCTGTGTCCTCTGAGTAAAGAACAAAAGTTCACTTGACAGCCCTTCACAGTCCTGGGCCAGAGCCTGGCCTGCGGGGGGTGGCCGGCGTACTTACTGCAGCTCTGTCAGAGGGTGTTTCAGGGAGAGTTTTTGCAGGGTTGTTTGTTGCCATGGATCTGGGAGGCAGGCTGCTTCCTCTCCCACAAGGCCCACAGGGGTTTTTACTGCTGGTAAGAAGTCATCAGATTGTTCTGGGGAAAAAAAAGTGGCGGATTTCAACAGACTGCGCATTAAATACGAAAAGGGAGGACATGCCAGCCTACTGTACTACATATGACAAACTGGAGAAATGCTCAGTGAGCCTATATGATTCCTATGCTTATTTGGAGTTAATGCTCTAGAGCTGACATTTTCCACAAAAAATAATTAAAAGTGATTTTATGGTACTTGTAATTATTTTTACTTAATTATTTCTAAGAAGCCTTCTCTATAAGGGTTACATCTGCTCACTAATGTTTCGAACTACTGAAAGATTATAAACCAAGCAGTTCTGCAAAGTGATGACATGCAGTGAGGTTATTTCAGGAAGACAAGGCAGAGTAGGTGCCCTTGATTTTCAATGCTGCTGACAAACCGTTGCAGTGCATCTCATGCAATTAAAACCACACTCCATCGTGTTAATTTAAAGTTACTATTGTTTTTAAGTGCAGATGGAGCAAACTCTGATAAAATCTGTTGAGAGGGAAAATACTGTATGATTCTGCAGCCTTTACTCATTTGCCAGAACAGAAATGTTTCTAGCTACAACACTATAACAAAAAAGAAATTCAAAACCTTCATGTGTATTTGCACTTTGTTTCTGTACAAGCACTTTTTCTGTTACATACAGTACGGGGTGCATACATTTATTCTTTTGTGTTGTACATTTTATTGTTTCTAAACAAAACAGCGAAAACAACTTTATGTCATTAAAACAGCAAAAAAATACAGAACAGAAACAGAAAATAAGTTGTCAACTGTACAGCAAATGCAAAACAGATACATAATTCAATTTTGAAATGCACAGAAGGATTTTTTATATAACTGATTTCTTTCTTTTACTTTCCTCCCCTTTAGGAAGTCTTTGACTCATTTCTGTTGAATTAAGTCAACAGGCATGTCACCCTGCAACTCACAACTGAAGCTAAACAGGTGCCTGGACAGGAGACCTCCTGGGAAACACTAAGGTTGCTGCTGGATGAGGTATTAGAGGGGCCAGTAGGGTCTATGTGGGCCCTAATGCCCTAGTATAGTGACAGGGACACTATACTGTAAAAAGGTGCCATCCTTCAGATGAGATGTAAAACCGAAGTCCTGATTCTGTGGTCATTAAAAATTCCAGGGAGTTTTTCAAAAAGAGTAGGTGTATTACCCCAGCGTCCTGGCCACATTTCCCATTGTCCTTTACCAGTCATGGCCTCCAAATAATCCCCATCTCTGAACTGTCTTCATCACTCTGTTCTCCTCCTCACTGACAGCTGATGTGTGGTGAGCATTCTGGTGCACTATGGCTGCTGTCACATCATCCAGATGTGGGGTTAAATGTCAGGAAAAACTATAATACACCGATTACATAAATAGACTCAACCCCATTTGCTATGCTACAAACTTAAATGAAGCTACACAAATTTGTATAGTAAGTAGTCGCCTCCGCTTTTCTGCAATAACAGTGGTTCTCAATATTTCAAAATGAAATACTCTGTAACATCCCTCAGTCAGGTAGGTTTTTTGGAGGCAGTAAGCAGCTTACCTCTCAAGCTATTCAGAACATTTACAAGATAAATTTAGTTAGAGCTCAAGAGTTAGGGTTTTGTTTCATTTGTGTTTGTGTTTTGCCCAATTCCTACAATGCAGAGCAGTGTTTTATCTTGCAGAAATCACACCAAACTGGTGTATAAAGTTGGTACAATCCATGACAAAAAGACTTGTGGCTGTAATTGCTGCCAAAGATGCTTCCCTCAAAATGGAGTTCACAGGCCTGAATAGTTATGCTCTCAACATATTTCAGATTATTCTCTTTAGTCTTTGCTGAGTTATCTTCAGTTCTACTGTCACTTATCTTACCATTGAAAGTCTTCAGCTTGGGCATTCAGATTTCAAATAAAATA